CCTTAAGGGCCTTGTGATGTTAAATTGCGAAGCTTTTTTGATTCATCAAACGGTGTTTTCGTGGCATGGCATTCAAGTTTGATGATTCGTGAAAAAGGAAGTAGCGTGTAAATGGAATAGACATGGTCAGATATGTTCCAAAATCACGTCAATCCCTAAGAGACTTACATATCAATATCCAGTCATAGCTATAGCACCAACTACTCGCATCAAGAAAGGACATGTTTCAAACTTTATCTGTTTTGGTCCCTTCATTTTGTTACACCTTATAGCACCTTAGGGACAAAAATGTCCACACTGAGGAATAGCATAGCAGGTTGACCACATCCATCTCATGATTCTGCAGGAAAGCCATAATACTTTAAGGATGTTACATTGTGAAACTTCTGAGTTCTTGTCAAAAACTGTCGCCCTGGTGAGTAATTACTTGCCATGAAAGAGGAAAGTCAGCCACAGTGAATTAAAGTAATAACTGAAACATCAACCACACTGTCAGATATTTTCCACACATCACCCGTTTTCTGAGGAGATTAAACTAGCCTGCCGTTAATTATCAACATAACCAGCAGCAGCAATGATATAGCAATCTTTTTTAATAGCAGGAGAATCCAGACCACAGGCGCGTCTCACTCTCTCCTGCAGTGCCGCCGCACCAGGGTACACGTGTCAAATAAGGCATCCAGACTTTGGTTAAACGAGAATATAAAAGTTTCATCAGTCACAGGGCAGCCACAGTCCCTCAGACCTGTAGACCGTCACCCTCTCGCTTGCTTTTAACCTGATGGTATGATCTCTGTCATCATACACGGCTGGTTGCACGCACATCAACACAGCGTTCAGTCAGTGCGTGGCCGAGCAGGGTGGAGAAAAAATGCACAGGAGAACAAGAGAAAGAGAAAAGGCAGAGCTGAGACGGAGAAATGGCAGGAGGAAAGTGTCTGCAAATGCGCGAAAATTACAGATATCTTCATGATTAAGGGACAAGTTACTACTAGCAGGGCTGCCCTCATATCACAACTATTTTTCCAGAGTTAATTCTATTTTTTAACAAAAGCAGTCGTGCCCTGTAGAAAAGCAGGAGATGCGTGTGTATGGAAATAATCTGGTAAATACTTCTATACTTGTTTCAGATGGACGTATCTCCAGTTACTCAGATCTACCAGAGCTTCATGAAGATGATAAACATAAATCCAGTCAGACCTCTGAGGAAATGGAAATGGAAATTATTATTATACTGATCTACAATTAGCCTATAGTAGGCCTTGACAATATTCCCACTCCAGCTAAAGCTATAGCAAGAGGAGTTCAAAAATTAACATAACAGTTTTGTACACAGTAAAATACATGCAGCTTGCATGCTTGTCACACTGCACCTGTTACCAGAGAGCGTGTGACAGAGACGGGGTTCATTGTTGTATCTCTCTCCCTTTCTCTTCTTTCAACTTTATGTAGAAAACCAACCCAGCAAGACATGTTATGCAAAAATTAATATATAAAAGGTTCTGTAAATAAACTGTGTCACAACTGTTTGAGGTTCTTATCCCGGGACCAGGAGCTGTCTCCCGAGTGTGCCATGTTTTGAGTTTATTTAAGAGGTCATGTTGCATGCTCGTAGTGCTGGAATGACTTCTAATATACTTGAAATAGGCGGCTGTGGCTCAGGACGTAGAGCGGGTTGCCTGTTAATCGGAAGGTCGGCGGTTTAATCCCAGCTCCTCCACGCTGCATGTCGTCCTCGAGCAAGATACTGCAAATGTCCTCGAGCAAGATACTGAACCCGAATTGCACCTGGCGGCTGTTCCCCCAGTTTGAATGTGTGAATGTTAGTTTCTGTTTGAGCACTTAGGCTCATGTGTGAATGTGTTTGACTGGTGAATGCAGATGTAGTGTAAAAGCGCTTTGAGTGGTTGAAAAGACTAGAAAGGCGCTATACAAATACAGAGCATTTACATTTACCTTAATAACAGAAATGCGTGTACCTATTCATTCTTTTCTGAATGTTATTTTTACACTGTTATTTCAGTGTTTCTTATTTTCCATATTTATAATGAATTAGCCTATTGGTTAATTTAATTTGATTATTTATGTCTGCCTTTCCAGATGACTGCAAATAACTTCTGTTACCAAAAATGACATTCAGTTCATGTGCATTCAAAGTGTGAGGCCTGGGGCAGACAAACAGTGAGGCATAATGCTAATTCTTAATAATAATAGTAATATATTTGATATAAAAAATATATAAAATGTATTACTATTTTACAAATGTGTGTAAATAGAAAGTTATTAGTCATTTGGTAATATCTTACTAAATAAAGAGTAAAGACAAAAAGGACATACCCATATCATAGTGTAAATGTCAGTCAGTCAGAAATTCTGATTAAGTACTTAATTTATTTATCGATATTTGCATTTATGTAGGCTAACTTTTATCCTTTTGTAAGGTCCACAGTAATAGAAAAAGTACTATTAAAGGAAACATAAGAAATATAATATACAACTTCCTAATCATCACTAAAGTCAGTATGTTCTGAAAAACCAGAAGAAAAATTTAGATGTTCACCTCTTTAAGAGACCTGTGTTGCAGCACCATAACCATAAATCAGATAATTGACTTACTAGCTGTACCTGAGAAGGTGTTGAAATGTGTTTTGATGTGATATACATCAGTAGGGTGGAATTTGATAGGCACCACCAAGACACTTTGTCCTTAATAATGGCGTGTAACATAGCACACAGTTTGGGGAATTTTGGTTTGTGTATTATTGGTATTTATCTAATTATGTATTCTTGGAGTAAGCTTTTGGAGATTCATCTATTTTGCTGATAATATCAAAATTCCTATAGCTAAAAAATAAAATCTTTTTTTAATTTTGTATATCTTTTCAATTCATATTTGTTATATTTATATAGGGTTTTGGTTATTATTACACACCAAGTCAGCAAAGCAAATTCCTTGTAAGGGTACTACTTGATTGTGATTGTGAGTATTAATCTTTGCGGCTTTTCTTACTTCAACCGGGCAAGAGTGCTCAGCCAATATCAACCATTGTTAAGCACTTTCATTACAGTTGAACACAGTCAATAAAGTGAGAAACCTTTATTAACATTGCACAATTGTGTCTCTATCCTCCTTTCTCTTTCTCTCACGCAAGCCTCCTTCATATCAACAGCATGGCCCTTCTCGACTACCCTGTTCCAGAGTTGGATGTTACCTTGCAAGAAGTGAGCCGTGTCCTGCAGCTCACTTTAAGTCCTGACCTTTACCCTGAGTTCAAAAGTATGATGGAACAGGAGAGGAAGCTCCTTGAAGAGGCCCATCAAAAATTAGCAACCAGCGCTGCAGGCAAAGAGAACTGGGTGACGGAGCAGTTCAAGAGAGCCCTGCTGTCCTGTGCTGACCCCGTGCCCACCTCCACAGCTCTCCCTGTTGTTCTTCTTCCTTCCCAAGCAAAGCAATGTACCCAGCTGCAAAGGGCAGCCGCTCTGCTCTGGGCAGCAGCAAAGCTGTACAGCGAGCCCTTGTTACTGGAGGGGAATGTGCCAATGGAGCGCACACAGCAGAGTGAAGTACAGCTGACACAGGTGATGGATCAACCCAGTGCAGGAAGAGAGAATGATCCCTCTGCCATTTGCAGCCTCTCAGCTATGGAGCGCAAAGCCTGGGCTGCCACCAGGGAAGAGATTCTGGAGCAAGGAGGAGATGCAGCAGCTCACACTCTGCCTGGAGGAGTGCAACGCACCCTCTGAGCTGGCTGATATCCTCAATGCTGGGAGGAGGAGGAGACAGTCCGTGCCTGAGATACTATGACAAGGTATTGGATAGAAATTGGATAATTTTCTGTTCACATACCACATCAGCCAAATCACATAAATGGGTGCTCTTATCAAAACAATACCACTAATATTGGAAAGTAACAAATTAAATTAATACCTATATAGAAAATACACTTTCAGATCAATGTATTAGCATTAAGACTTAAAAGTGGTTATAATTTCCCTATGCTATACTATAATTTATCACTTTAAAGTAGCTTCCTAGGAGGTGGCTCAAAACTATTTTTAAAAACACCATCAAAGGTCACCAACAAATCACTAACAAATTATTATTGTTATTATTATTTTGAACAGGTGATGAACCTGGTGGTATTCAAGGACGGCACAGCTGGGATTGTATTTGAACACAGTGCTGTGGATGGGATGGTGGCTGGGCTTGTGACTGAGCATGTGTATCATCTGTCAGAAACTGTTGATTTAAACCTAGTCCACACTGACACAGAAAACACAAATGAGTCAGTGAACAATGTTAATGTCAATTCTGTTTGCCCAGTGTCCCTAACATTCCCCTTGCAAGGAGTAAATACCCCCAAGTTAAGCACTTCCTTGCAAGCAACTCATTTGGTTCTCACTTTTGATGTGCCCTCCTACCCTGATGTCTTTTCTACTCTCAGAGGGCAAAGAGGCCTGTATGACGCTTGGATCAACTTCTCTTTGCAGCTTTCCCTGTGGCAGACTCTTGGGGAATCTGCTGTCAATCACATGCTTGTCACACCTACCCATGTCCGTCACTACAAACACGGCCGATGTGATCCTACATAGTCACTCACCATGCATTCTCGTAAGTTAGTACGTGCCTTGGAAGCCTGTGCTGGCCCAGATAACACAATCCAATACACTACTGACCTCCTACACTTGTTCCATGTTGCATTTTTGGAGCATAAGAGCCTCATCAAAAACACCAAAAGGGGTCAAGGAGTTGGTCCCCACCTAGCCGCCCTGCGTCGAGCATTGCCATCTGATAACCCACTGAAGAAGTTCCTGGACCCATTTGGGTGTCCATCTGTGTACCTCACAGGTACAGATCTGATGGAAGGTGTGGAGTGTGCAGTAGGGAATGTTTATGCCCAAGATCAGCTGGTTGTAACCTACCTCGGAAAAGAGACAAGGTTTGCATTGTGCTTAATGGGAAAGGAAGTTTTGCTCTGGCATTGGAGAAGCTTCAAGAAAGCCTGAAGAAAAATGTGAAGTTAGTGATGCATCTAGCTGTTAGATATGCCATTGCATACCAGATGGGAGCCCTGGATTGTCTACTCCAACAGGGTCAACGAGAGGAAATGAATGGAGAGAGAGATCACCGCACAGAGAGCCCAGACTACACTCTAGTGATCCATGGTGGTGCTGGAGAGGTGATGATGCTGAACACCGAAGTAATTGAGGTTATTGAGTTTGCTCTGCAAACAGCCTTAACCCTTGGATCCCAAGTGCTTCAACAAGGTGGAAGGAGTCTGGATGCAGTTCAGAGGTCAGTAGAAGCTCTGGAGGACTGCTTCCTATTCAATTCAGGTAAAGGCTCAGTATTCAACAAAGATGGCAAAAATGAAATGGAAGCAACCATTGTAGATGGCAATGCAATGAGGTCTGGGTCTGTTGCTTGTGTGCAAAGTGTAAAGAACCCAATAAAAGCTGCCAGATGTGTCATGGAGAAAAGCTCACATTCACTCATTGTGGGAGATGGGGCTGAGGAATTTCTACAAGGGTTGGAGGAGAAAGAGAAACCTGTTGGGCCTGAGTATTTCTATACTGATATACGTCACAGAGAGTTAGCTGCAAATCTCAGTGGTGGAAATGCCTCAAAAAACAATCATCCTCAGACAGTTGGAGCTGTGGCCTTGGATCGTTGGCATAGGTTAGCTGCTGCATCCTCCACAGGTGGTTTAGTAGGAAAGCTGAAAGGGCGAGTTGGGGATACAGCAGTAGTAGGGGCAGGAATATATGCTGATGACAAGGTAGCCATTACCTGCTCTGGAGACGGAGATGTATTTCTGAGGCAAACAGTTGCACAGAAAATAGCCAGTCTCTACCACCACAAAGGCTATAGCCTTAGGCAGGCATGTAGAGAAGTGATGGCTGAAAATCTGAATGGGATCTGTGCAGGAATCATTGCTGTGGACACTAAAGGTGATGCCATCATTGAAGCAAATGCTACTGTGATGTTTGTGGTCTCAATGATAAGTGGCATTTCACGAGTAGAGGTCCTGAGGCCACTGAAGAGCTTCTCTGATGTGATCTGGGAAACAGATGAGCTGGTTGCCTACCTTGATCCCAACCCCTGGATACCTGGGTCAACCATTCTGACTAAAAAACTCGTAGTGGGGCAAGCAGCATCTTCCAGTTGGCTACACCTGATTTTGTTGCTATGCTACAAGGGGCAAAAGCTGTGTCAAGCTTGCTATGTGAGCGATTGGGAGTGCAGCGCTGTGCCTTGGTTTTCAATCCAACACCTGATCAGCCAGCACAAATCAGACTGCTACCGCTTCATGGCATAGAGCCAAAATGGCAGCCCATTCTAGCCAATGAAGAAGAATTCCACACATTCCATCCTGGCTACTGCACCTCAAAAAATGGCCCACGCTGGGATGATGAGGCACTGGCCCAGGTTCAAGCAAAGATTAGAAATGGACTGTCAACACCGAATGCACCCCTTTGCTTTAACTTTTTTGGAGACGCTTCCCATGATAAGTCGTATTGTGCGTGGAGTGCAGCAACAGTGGAGAGTGTGGGAAGACAGTGGACATGTTGCCTTCCTGACACCATACCCAAACACTCCTGGACTAACTGTTGTGGTGCCACGCAAACCCCTGTCCAGTGACATCTTCAAACTAGAGGACGCTGACTACAAAGCACTGATCTTAGCCACTTATAAAGTAGCCCGACTACTGGAAGAGGGGATGAGAGCTCGAGGCGTTGCACTGATCTTTGAGGGCTTTCAGATTGACTATGCTCATGCCAAGCTGATCCCTGTGTTACCTTCACCAGGTGGCACTAATCCTGCTGAACTGCAATCAGAGTGCTTCCAAAGTTACCCTGGATATGTGTCATCACTGAATGGCCCAGAAGCTGACCCTGAGGCCCTCAAAAAGATCCACTCAAAAATTACTGAGTGCAGGCCTCCTCATTCATGGGAAGACCCTCAGTCTCACTCCACACTTGCCATCAAGAGCCAGTGGTATCGCAACCTTTTCCAGATTCAAAATACTCTTTTCCACAGCACAGTCGAATATTTCCACGGTTCCTGTCAGTACTCTTATGTCCTAACCCCTCTCACCACAGACACCATCTCCTCACCAATGGGTCTAGGATCTGACTCAGAACCAGTTTCTGTTAACCTGCTGGGCCAGGACATCTACCTGGCTGACTCAATGCAATTTGTGCTTGAATACTTCCTTCGCTTCCAGGAGAATCTGCCAGGGACGTACTACATTTCTCCCAGCTTTAGAGGGGAAGACCCTGATTCCACGCACTTGAACCAGTTTTACCATGTGGAGTGCGAACTGTTGGGTGACATGGACAAGGCCATGTCAATAGCAGAGGGATTCCTGGCTCACCTTACCAAGGCTATGCTGAAGAAACACTCTGATATGATCCTCAACACTGCCGGGACCCTTACACATGTCACAGCCATGCTGAGTAAGCTGGATGGAAAAACCGCACTGCCAAGAGTCCCTCTAGACCAGGCCATTCCAATGATGCCCTCTGCTGACTGCCTAGAGTGGGTCCAAGATGGCCAGGCCCAGTTTGGCAGAAAGCTAACACGCAAAGGAGAGCAGGTCTTGATAAAAAAATATGGTGGTGCTGTTTGGCTGACTGAAATGGACCATCTAGGAGTTCCCTTCTACCAGGCATATGTGGAGGGCACTGGGCAGAGTAAAGCCAAAGCTGCTGACCTTCTCCTGGGGCTGGGTGAGACTTTGGGTCTTGGTGAACGTCATTCCACCCCTGAGATGGTACAAGAGGCCCTCAGACACCATGCCGTGCCAGAGCAGTCCTACAAGTGGTATATTACAGTTTTTCTCAAATGCTAAAACACAAAAGCCAATCCTCTAAACCAAATGACCAGTTGTCTAAACACATTTACTAAATCTAGCCATCATTTTCCAATATCATAAACACATTTCACATGAAGACACAATTCACAAAACACAATCCTCCGTTCACATAAATCTTAACACATTTTTCCTTGCTAAAACACAAGTTGCAAAAGAACTCTGCTCATATTCTCAAATGAAAGCTCATGTGATGCAAAATGCTTGCCACAGTCAGCAATATTTGAACAAAATGAACACACCTGGCGTCATTCATTACACACGACTCAAAATTGAAAACACCTGTTGCTAATGCTGTGACCACATGTATAAAAGCAAGTTCAGAGTGCACAGTTTGCTGAAGATTCCAAACAAACACAATGGATGAAGGCAGAGTCAGGGGAAGAGGTAATTGAGTCAGAGGAGGAAGAGGAGCAGGCCAGGGAGGAAGAGGAGGAGGCCACGAGGAAGAGGAGCAGGCCAAGGAAGAAGAGGAGGAGGCCAACAAGGGAGAGGAGAAGGTCCAGGAGGGAGAGCAAGACAACCTTGCACCATCATTACGGACGAGATGCGAACAACAGTCATTGACCATGTCATTGTCCATGGCATGACAATGGCTGAAGCAGGACTAAGAGTCCGTCCTGAGTAGGTTCTCCGTGGCCACCATTATCAGGGCATTCAGACAACACAACAGGTATTGTACTCTATTGCTTTCTTTGTCACAATACAATTTTACAAGCCTGTGAAAGTAGTCTATTAGTTTCAAATCAGTTGTTACTGTATTGTAAAACATGTCAATTGACAACACGTTTCTTTCTTTAGAGTTGAAAGAATGCCACATAGAGGTGGGAGGGTTGCCATATTTACAGCGGCACAAGAAACCCTCATTGTGGATATGGTTCGTGAGAACAACCTCATCAGACTCCGGGAGATCAGAGACAAAGTCATTGCCGATAATGTGAACTTTGAGGGCATTGATGATGTCAGCTTGGCCACAATAGACCGAGTTCTCCGGCGCCAAAAGATGCGGATGAAACAAGTCTATAGTGTTCCCTTTGAGCGAAACTCTGCACGACACAAAGACCTACGTTACGAGTATGTGCAAGTAAGTATACATCCATGTTCACAGTACAGTTAGTGAACATACTGTGTTGCTCAGTGGCCTACATTACTTCTGGACAATACTATGCTACCTGATTGACTGTTGTTCTGAACACCTGTGCACTTTCACATTTTCACAGAGGATATTACAGTTGGACGCGATGGCCAGACCTCATGAGTACCTCTTCCTGGATGAGGCTGGCTTCAACCTGCAGAAACGAAGGCAAAGAGGCCGTAACATCATTGGCCAAAGAGCCATCACTGAGGTTCCTGGCCAACGGGGGGGGGGTAATATTACTCTTTGTGCGGCCATGGGTTTGGAGGGGCTTGTCCACCGGCAGGCTGTCCTTGGGTCTTACAACACCCAACGTCTCCTAACCTTCCTAGAGGAGCTAAAAGATATCCTCCTGGACCGCCAACAACACCATCCTGGGCCCGAACATCCCATTTATGTGATCATTTGGGACAATGTACGCTTCCACAGAACAAACCAAATCAGAGAGTGGTTCACCACCAACAGTAACCACTTTTTAAACGTCTGTCTGCCACCCTACTCCCCTTTCCTGAACCCTATAGAGGAGTTCTTCTCATCGTGGAGATGGAAGGTTTATGACAGACAACCATACACTAGAGAGAACCTCCTAAGGGCAATGGAGCTGGCGTGTGTTGACATCCCAGTGGAGAACTTCCAAGGATGGATCCGCCATTCCAGGGCGTTTTCCCCGCGGTGCCTGGCAAGAGACAATATAGCCTGCGATGTGGATGAGGTGATGTGGCCCGATGCAGCTCAGCGACATGATGCCGCACAGTGATTGTGGTGTAAATAAAAAAAACTTCACACCCTGATCATGTTTTCAAGAGTACTGTTGTGTGCAATAGATTCTGTTTTTGCATTGAGTTGTGTTACAGTAGTGTACAGAATTTACTATAGATTTATACTCTTCATATGAAACTCACAAATCTAAATACCCAATCCTCTGCAGAGATCTAAGAAGATCCATTATTGTAAAGTTTCTAAAAATATGCATTGGCAGTTATGAAACAAAGAACCTTCTCACAAATTGAGCATTGTGTTTTCAATTGTTTTGCCGTAGTGTGTAATGATGTGTATAGTGTTTACATTTTTGAAAGCTTCGAGCTGCTCTTTTGGTGTGAAAGTTTGAGTTTTGAAGGGAGAAGGTGTGGTTGTGTTTATGTAGCTTTAGAAAAGGGTGTTGTGTTTAGACATTGGAGAACATGGACGAAACGTTTGTGAAATGTGTTTTAGCATTTGAGAAAAACTGTAATGTGATATGACTCATTATACAATCCCGTGTTAGCTTATCTTGGTCTGTAGTTAATGATATACTTACCTGTAACAACCTGTAGAGTTAATGATATACGCTTACCAGGAGGAAATTATGGCATTTTCTCCACTGCTCATGAAACTGATTTCTGTGAAACTGGCTGGGTACAAGGTCGATTTATTGATTGTGGTGTATAACATATGTGCATTTGACGCAGAACAGTTAGCTGGATAGAGGATTTGTGACCTTTAAGGGGAGAGCAGAGGTCAGTGGTTATGTGGAAACTCAGATCCTTATCTGGTGTCCAACAAGATGTTTACACTTATTCTATAGAACTTTGCTCTTATATGGATTGGAGCCTTAGTTTGCAGACTCAGACCCTTATATGGTATCTAACAGATACCTAAACATGTCATGATGTACAGAGAGACAGAGTGGCCATCGGGCTGGGTCACTCTCCAAGCTGCTGCAGAGCTTGTAATTGATGCTGAACTCCTTGATGTAATAAACTTTTATGATCAAGAACAGTGTCAAGCGGATTTCTTCTCAACACATCATCTCAGCATTATTGTTCGGGACACCACATGATCTTTTACAGGGTGGTGTAACGATGTGGAAGTTGTAGTTCCCTTTATGCTACTCACAAAAACAAATGTTATATACATAAATGATATCGCGCCAATTCACAACAAACGTTATCTCGTTGTACTTTTCATATAGAGCCGGTCTAGAGAGTTCTCTTTGTAAGACCCTCAGACCCTCTTGGAGGTCCATAGGCAAGCACCAGAAGATTTTGTACATTTTAAAGTTAAGTCATTAATCTGGTGCACTTTGAAAGCAGAATTAAGAAACTATATTGGTGAACAACTTTGCCCTCTTGTAAACCATCATGTGTTCTAGTAAAAAATTGAACATAAACACAGTGTAAATATATAAAAGGTGATGACACAGCAAAAAGTCCAGCAACCCAAAATCATAGAATAAAGTCATTTCCCTAACATTTTAGTGTTTTTTTTACTTTTAATGGACACATGTAATATGTTTTATACTTCCTGTGAATATCATCAAATTTATCTTATTACGTTGTGTTGACACCTTATTTTAAAATCCTCACGTTATTAAATGTGTATCATGGCGCTAAGTTCACCAAGTCTGGCGCAATTTGATAAATGATATTGTGTGTGGTGTTTGTATGGTGTACAATTAACATTTCACAGCCTCTCTTCAGGTAAGAGCTCAGACTGTAACACTTGTCTTTGTAAAGTGAGACAGAATAAACATAATAACATAAATAACCCTGACTGTCAGCTTAGCGTTTCAGTGCATTTACCATAAAGGCTCAAATACATGTGCACTCTAACTTGAGAATGTTCTAACACAAAAAAAGTGACAGTGGAAACAATCAAAGCTGTTCAAACCTTTCGTTAAGGTTACCGTATGGACCTCAAATTATGTTGTGTCCTCAAAATGTCTGGGATGCTATCTGGTCTTGTGTAAGCTGTCCTCCTGATCTGTACATTGTTTGTTCTGATGGGCTTGTTTGTTCTGTCTTTTACATTCCAACTGGTCTGTAGACACTTGTTGGTTTTAAATAAAAGTTGGATCACACACATAACACTGCCACCTGCTGCTGACTGACTGACCTTCTGTAACACTGCCACCTGCTGCTGACTGACCGACCTTCTGTAACACTGCCACCTGCTGCTGACTGACTGACTGACCTTCTGTAACACTGCCACCTGCTGCTGACTGACTGACCGACCTTCTGTAACACTGCCACCTGCTGCTGACTGACTGACCTTCTGTAACACTGCCACCTGCTGCTGACTGACTGACTGACCTTCTGTAACACTGCCACCTGCTGCTGACTGACCGACCTTCTGTAACACTGCCACCTGCTGCTGACTGACTGACCTTCTGTAACACTGCCACCTGCTGACTGACTGACCGACCTTCTGTAACACTGCCACCTGCTGCTGACTGACTGACCTTCTGTAACACTGCCACCTGCTGCTGACTGACTGACTGACCTTCTGTAACACTGCCACCTGCTGCTGACTGACTGACTGACCTTCTGTAACACTGCCACCTGCTGCTGACTGACTGACCTTCTGTAACACTGCCACCTGCTGCTGACTGACTGACCTTCTGTAACACTGCCACCTGCTGCTGACTGACCGACCTTCTGTAACACTGCCACCTGCTGCTGACTGACTGACCTTCTGTAACACTGCCACCTGCTGCTGACTGACTGACCTTCTGTAACACTGCCACCTGCTGCTGACTGACTGACTGACCTTCTGTAACACTGCCACCTGCTGCTGACTGACTGACTGACCTTCTGTAACACTGCCACCTGCTGCTGACTGACCGACCTTCTGTAACACTGCCACCTGCTGCTGACTGACCGACCTTCTGTAACACTGCCACCTGCTGCTGACTGACTGACCTTCTGTAACACTGCCACCTGCTGCTGACTGACTGACCTTCTGTAACACTGCCACCTGCTGCTGACTGACTGACTGACCTTCTGTAACACTGCCACCTGCTGCTGACTGACTGACTGACCTTCTGTAACACTGCCACCTGCTGCTGACTGACCGACCTTCTGTAACACTGCCACCTGCTGCTGACTGACTGACCTTCTGTAACACTGCCACCTGCTGCTGACTGACTGACTGACCTTCTGTAACACTGCCACCTGCTGCTGACTGACTGACCGACCTTCTGTAACACTGCCACCTGCTGCTGACTGACTGACCTTCTGTAACACTGCCACCTGCTGCTGACTGACTGACTGACCTTCTGTAACACTGCCACCTGCTGCTGACTGACTGACTGACCTTCTGTAACACTGCCACCTGCTGCTGACTGACTGACCGACCTTCTGTAACACTGCCACCTGCTGCTGACTGACTGACTGACCTTCTGTAACACTGCCACCTGCTGCTGACTGACCGACCTTCTGTAACACTGCCACCTGCTGCTGACTGACCGACCTTCTGTAACACTGCCACCTGCTGCTGACTGACTGACCTTCTGTAACACTGCCACCTGCTGCTGACTGACTGACCTTCTGTAACACTGCCACCTGCTGCTGACTGACTGACTGACCTTCTGTAACACTGCCACCTGCTGCTGACTGACTGACTGACCTTCTGTAACACTGCCACCTGCTGCTGACTGACCGACCTTCTGTAACACTGCCACCTGCTGCTGACTGACTGACCTTCTGTAACACTGCCACCTGCTGCTGACTGACTGACTGACCTTCTGTAACACTGCCACCTGCTGCTGACTGACTGACTGACCTTCTGTAACACTGCCACCTGCTGCTGGCTGACTGACCTTCTGTAACACTGCCACCTGCTGCTGACTGACTGACTGACCTTCTGTAACACTGCCACCTGCTGCTGACTGACTGACTGACCTTCTGTAACACTGCCACCTGCTGCTGACTGACTGACCGACCTTCTGTAACACTGCCACCTGCTGCTGGCTGACTGACCTTCTGTAACACTGCCACCTGCTGCTGACTGACTGACCTTCTGTAACACTGCCACCTGCTGCTGGCTGACTGACCTTCTGTAACACTGCCACCTGCTGCTGACTGACTGACTGACCTTCTGTAACACTGCCACCTGCTGCTGACTGACTGACCTTCTGTAACACTGCCACCTGCTGCTGACTGACTGACCTTCTGTAACACTGCCACCTGCTGCTGACTGACTGACTGACCTTCTGTAACACTGCCACCTGCTGCTGACTGACTGACCTTCTGTAACACTGCCACCTGCTGCTGACTGACTGACCGACCTTCTGTAACACTGCCACCTGCTGCTGACTGACTGACCTTCTGTAACACTGCCACCTGCTGCTGACTGACTGACCTTCTGTAACACTGCCACCTGCTGCTGACTGACTGACCTTCTGTAACACTGCCACCTGCTGCTGACTGACTGACTGACCTTCTGTAACACTGCCACCTGCTGCTGACTGACTGACCTTCTGTAACACTGCCACCTGCTGCTGACTGACTGACCGACCTTCTGTAACACTGCCACCTGCTGCTGACTGACTGACCGACCTTCTGTAACACTGCCACCTGCTGCTGACTGACTGACCTTCTGTAACACTGCCACCTGCTGCTGACTGACTGACTGACCTTCTGTAACACTGCCACCTGCTGCTGACTGACTGACTGACCTTCTGTAACACTGCCACCTGCTGCTGACTGACCGACCTTCTGTAACACTGCCACCTGCTGCTGACTGACCGACCTTCTGTAACACTGCCACCTGCTGCTGACTGACTGACCTTCTGTAACACTGCCACCTGCTGCTGACTGACTGACCTTCTGTAACACTGCCACCTGCTGCTGACTGGCTTTCTGCTCTCACATCATCCTGACGTTTGGATCTGAAGGTATGATCAGCTGATTTGTTAAACTTGTAACGCATACAAACTCACCACCGTCCATTTAGATGAAGGGTTTTCTTGCAGTACAGTGGGGTTCCCCAAATATATTCCACAGCTAAAGGTTTATATTCCTTTGTTGAGAGTTGTCTGGAAAATATTGCTTAGCAGAGCCAACTAAACGCCGACTGCTTCACCTGTCAACAAGCTCCGTCACCGGCCAAAAAACGTCACTTCCCCACTTCCGTTCAAGCCATATGGGTGAGCGGTAAATAATAACCAAAGAAATTATAAATTATAATAACTATAATTAGAGTCCATATTATAACCTGTGTTTACATAAATGGTAATTGGTCTGTATTTGTATGGCGCCTTTCAAGTCATTTGGACACTCAGCTGTGTTCTTAATTGGCCATCAAACTGGCCTGACCTTAACCCTATAGAAAATCTATCTACAGCAACCAAAAGATAAAGGACAAAACAGGAAGTGAAAGTTTTGTATGATATTAACATCACGTACCAAACCTCTCTTTCTCAATTCAGTTCAATTCAATGTGCTTTACTGGCAATGCAATTCACGACTATTTACTTTAGCAATTATAAGTTACAACAACCAAAGCTTTGTCTGAGGGGAGGCCTGCAGTCTCAGGCTTTGAAAACCCCTGATTTACAGGACATGTTTTTTGGCATGTTGTTACTGTTTGGAGCAGGTCTGAATTGTTTTGCTGCTGTGGTTTGAGTTATTGAGTTAACTTACAGTTTGTAAAATGTGCCCAAGTATAATTAATCATTTTAATAATAAGTCATTTAGCTGACACTTTTTTCCAAAGCAACTTACAATTTCTCTATATGTCAGAGGTCGCACGGCTCTGGAGCAACTAGGGGTTAAGTGTCTCGCTCAGGGACACATCTGTCTCCTACACCACTGCGCTGTCAGCATGGAAATTAACTAATCCTCACTGTTATTTAAAGGGTGCATTATTCTGATAGTAAGATGTGCTGCGTAGGTTATAAATCTATTTACCCATGATCCATCAGGGGAGCTAGCGTCTTGTTAAGAGGAGCCGAGCTCCCCCGTAGTTTGCACCCTGCGTACAATCTCCACCATCGGATTCCCGCAACAGGAAATAACGTTACTCTTTTACTCATGGATTAGTTTTTCTGCCACCATAATGTTTCTCGGTGTTCGTGAATTTTTTTTGTGAAGATTGTAACGGGTATAATATTACCGATTATTTTTAGTAATGCGTTACAGCAAAAAACAATACATTACTGTAAATGCGTTACTTTTGTAACGCGTTACTCCCAACACCGCTCATAAACAACTGAACTGCAAACTTTTGCCTGCTGATCAGTTTGGCTTCCAGTTTTATTGATCACTGAAATGGCATTGACTTGGATGGGTGTTTTTTTTCAAAGGTTGGATGCAGTGCTTAATTTGTAAATTATTATGCGCTGGAAATGTGCCGCCTGCCTAAAATAATTAATAATTTAAAACGCATTGGCGTAAATCCACATTGATTTAAAGGGCGAACAGAAACCATTATTCAAAAAGTTAAAAGGGTCCATTAGACCCTGTTAGGCTGGATGAAATCTTGTAGTTTACTTGTGTAGAAGGGCAGTGCATTGACGGATTTGGGGGGGGGGGTCACTAAATTTTTGCAGTACCTTAGCCAACACTGCACATTGAAAATTAACATTTGTAAATGTCAGTAATCTGTCTCTGTGGCTGTTTGAGATTTAAGGAAGATTAATCTTGTTAAAACAGTTGGAGTTCCTGTTTCTGGATGACCTGCAGGTACTTCACACCCTGCTTTTGAGGAAGAAGATAGTTTAACATTGCTTAATGTTTCGCTTTCTCATAAGAAATATGCTTTAGTTTGCTTTCTTTGTACTGCTCAGAAAAATGAAGGGAGCACAATAGTTCAAAGTTCAAACTCTTTACAGTACAATTCACTGAGAACAGTGGAAACCCAAATCACCAAATGATTGAGGGCTGGATTCAAAATCACACTGAAAATTAAAGTAAAAAATTGAAACCACAGGCTGATCCACACCGCGGGTTCCCTAGGAGAAGAAGAGAAGAGACTTTAAAATGTTAGCGATTCCTTTGAAAGGTCTTCATGGCCTCTCTCCCTGTTCTATCTCTGACCTTTTAGTCCCGTCCGCACCAGCACGGACCTTCAGATCCTCGCAGAGGTCTGTTGTCTGTTCCAGAGTCTCCACCGAAAACTAAAGGGGACAGTTTGCTGTCGGGGCCCCAAGGCTCTGGAACAGCTTGAGGAAATCAGGGCGGCTCCTTCTTAAAACAGACTTTTAGGAGAGCCTATTTTAGTTGATTTAGTTTTTATCTTTTAACTGTATTTTAATTTCTGATGTATTTTCTTGCTTTTATCGTGTATCTTGTTGTGTGTTTTGTGTTTTATTGTCTTTGCACTTTTTAACGTGGTTGTAAACTGCTCTATAAATAAAGGGTTCTTTTATTATTATAATTATAATTATTTTCGACCTCTCACTGAGGTTGAAGGTGGTGCCGAAGATCTGGATCGTCCCTGTCTCCAAAAAGGGACGCAGTCTCTGTGGGCCCTCTTCCTCTTTTGGTCCCTGTCTCTCCTGCATCTTTTGAAAAATATTGACAAATAATTGAGCTGTACACATTAAACTGTGGTGCTAATTAGGGTAGTCACCAATGAACCATTCTTACTTTAGTGCAGGAGTAATGACTTGAGGTAGGTGGATTTGGTATACAGTATATAAAATATGACAATATAACAATGTGAGCAGTATGAACAGCACTGAAATAGTGAATAAATAATAAGTGGTAACCAGTAAACAGGTGGCTGATTAGAGACTGATTAGAGTTACTGGGTTATTGCACAAGAATTGATTCCTGACACTGTGAGTCAGAGTCAGCTGTTCATCAGAGTGATGGCTTGTGGGAAGGAACTGTCCCTGAGTCTGTTGGTTTTGGCGTACAGTGCTCTGTAGCACCTGCCAGAGGAGAGGAGCTGGAACAGGTTGTGTTCGGGGTGAGATGGATCCGCAGTGATGTTTCCTGACTCTGGAAATATCAAATATCAAAGTCCTGAATGGAGGATATAATAATAATCTATCTAATATAATATGTATATTCCTCTGTGCTGCTGTGCCAAACTGAATTTCCCCTACAGGGGGTTAATAAAGGAACATCTTATCTTAAAGTTTTAATGAACCTTTAGTATGCTTGCTCTGTAAAACCAATGAAAAGGTTTATTTCAGTTTTAGTTTGACCATGTAACTGACCCCTTACTATGATGTCATCTGAAAACTCCCCTCAGCTCCACTGTATAAAAGCAGATGTAATACTGGAGGCTCTCCACTTGTTTTTCCTTTTTCTATGTATTGACTTCTGCAACTGATGCTCAAAGATTCTTCAACAAGGCTTCGGTAAGGCCACACATTGAACTGTTTTCTAATAATTTTTGCCTCAAGAGAGTGTCAAGCATTAAAGGTGTTAGAGTAGGAGTTATAGGCAGAGTGATTCAGTGTGACTTTGTCTTTTAATTCAATTCAATTCAAATCAGTGTGCTTTATTGGCATGAATGTTTCAGTTAAACAATGTTGACAAAGTGGTTTGCAGCAAAATCACAACAAGAATGAATGCAATCAGGACCATTCAGTTTAGCAAAATTACAACCACAGAAATGACGAGATAGAACGTAAACTACAAACAGGAAAAAAACAGGAAGTAACCTGCCATGCAGCGAACACTGAGTGCAACAGTTGGCTGAGCAACTCGCTGTCCCTCAGGTTGGGACACTGAGACACATACTTGGCGGCGAGGTTTTCCTACACTGTAAACCCGAATAAGTTCACAGAACTCAAAAATTATTTTGTGACAGATTACACAAAAATATTTAAGTGATGTTTTTAAAAGTTTTAAGTTTACTTAAATTAAAAATTATATTTACTGTTGCCTTAAATTATCTCAATGTTATCTTATAAATATTGATATTCCTCAACTTAAAATTAGTGAGTAATTCACTAAAAAATTTCAATAATCTTCAAATCATAAAATGTTGGAAATATACTCAAAACTTTCACTTTTCTTAAATTCATAAAATGTGGGAAATAGACTCAAAAAATTTCATATTCTTAAACTCATAATGTAGGAAATGCACTAAATTTCCTATAATTTTCTACTCAAAGTTGGATATGCACTCAATTTATTCTAAACTAAAATACTGATGTCGGCCAACTACACAATTATAATCAGCTAATAATGTCAGAAAAGATGAAAGTGACACCACAGTGAAAATTTAGCAACTTTTTTTATTCAACAATGTGCTTTTTAAAAAGGCAGGAGAATCAAAGGAGATCAGTCACAAAGTGCTTGTCATGAATTAAAATAAAAGGAAATAAAAAGTGTTTTAAAGTACATTAAGTGTTAATAGTTCTATATTCTGATAGTGGTCATTGCTACAGAGGGTAGATTCAGCATTTTGGGTCTCCATCTCACATTTTTTCAGTAAACATTATGATAAAAACTCACAAGGGATTCATGATAAAATGATATAAGATTCTAAGTATTATCCATCCTCAACAGCAATAAACTATTAGAATGTGGAGCCATTTAAAGGAACACGCTGACTTTTTGTGACTTTAGCTTATTCACCATATCACCCAGAGTTAGAACAATAAGAATGATAGGATTATTCTTATTGTTATCCTCTTTGCAATCTGGTATTAATTGATTGAATTCGTCAAAATATTGGTCTCTGATGCTTCTATATTTATCCCATGTAAGGAGCAAATGCAACTTTGTCTCCACCTCACCTGTCGTAGAGCGCACACATCCTCTATAGGACCATGTTTGAGATTTTAAAATTAAGTGGTGTTTTGTTTTTTTAATAATTCCTCAACACCGCGAAACACAACATCAGAAATAAAAAAACTCTACTAATTGTTTCCTTGAACTGGAATTCGATGGTTGAGATTGTAGCCATGGTGCAAACTACAGGGGAGCTCAGCTTTTCTTAAGAAGATGGTAGCTCCCCAGAAAACAATAGGTCTATTGACTGCAACAGCCTATTAGCACTCTTGGCATAAATAGGAACCACTCTTTGGTTCCTCAGATGCTAACCGGAAGCACAGACAGTTTTTGACCACACACGCACACATGCATGCACACACACACAATACCACTACACAGTCATACATATACAACGATTGTCTAGAAAAACTATGGAAATGAATGGAAATAAATTAAAATCAATGGTTTTACCAGCAAATACTTTCATCAATCAAATCAGTAAAATGTGCACTAATTACTCAACCTTGGCACAGCACCTCAGGGGCGTAAAGCTTGGGCTTAGCCTCTACATTGACATTATGATATTTTGCCATTCATTAAATTTTTTCTGAATAGTTATCATTATGGATCATGTGTAAATTGAATTTGATTTGACTTTCATGATCAGAGAGGCTGCTGTCAGTGCATCCTGACCGATACTGTCAAAATATCAGGAGATTAAATTAATCAGTGAAGTTAAGCTGCTGTACCTTGTGCGTAAATGCGCACAGACTTTTACTTAATGGGGAGACAATTCATCCTATTTCACTAATCTTCAGGCCACCCGCAATAAATAAAGTGTTTATGTTTAAGACCCACCAGATCTGTGGACATAACTGTGATCATCACACCCAAAGCACCCACCTATCCAAGCGCGTCTTAATATATGAAAAATGCACCCATTAGACAGCAGTGAAAGCAGGGTGCGAACTATGGGGAGCCAGGGGGAGCTTTGCTCCTCTTAATAAGACACAAACTCCCCTGAAAACATCATTTTTGAAACTTTGGTAGGTCTCTGAAATATTGACAATAGTTAACAGTACTTTTATATGAGTACAGGTTTTGACTACTCAACCTCCCTCTGCCTGTAGGCCGTCTCGTAGTAGTTAATGAGTCCGCCTACTACTGTGGTGTCATCCAGACTTTACTATTGAAAGTTTGAGTGGTAATATAGAAGGGAGATGTGGATCCTTAAGACTCTGTTCCAGGCAGATGCTGTTAAGCAGATGTGCTCACTCCCTGCTGTCATACATCATAATGTTTCAACATTTAATATTGCTTTAGTTACTTTACCTTATACAACTTACTCATCTGCAACTGTTCTTTTAAAACTGTATTGAAAAAAACATTTAGATTTACTCTTTGCACATTGCTTAAACATGCTGAAAAACTTCCTTTTTTGTTTCAAACTGTCTTGTGACGACTTATTTATCCATTGCCAATTGTTCTCTCATATTTACCAAGAAAAATATTGAAAAAAATATCTATGGCTTTAATCCCTCAGAAATTAATAATGACATTATTTTTCACAGAAATACTTGGTTGTCATTTAAATTATTTTTATTAAATGGAATCGTTTCTGAATCGAATCATGAACTTCACATAAATAAAATAAATCACATCGAAGTGTGAGATTAACACGTTGTTACATTCCTAATATGTTTAGAATCTTTAAAGCTTTGTGATGACACTTACAGCTGGACAGAGACAGGAAAGGAGAGAGAGAGGTTGGCAGACAAAGGGACTCGGGTTTCAATCAAACTCACCACTGCAGAAAGGACTCAGCCTTTACACATGGTATGCATTGTAACAGGTGGGCAAATACTGTATTGTTTTGTTGGCTATGCTCCATTTTACAAAGAACCAAAGAAGCAGGAGTTCCTGCTTTGAGTTGGTTTGTATATCATAAATATGTCTTTTTTGTTTGTTTCATCAAAACACAGGTTCACAAAAAATCACCACTTAATTGCTGAATAAATCTATAAAAATGGGGAACGTACCATCAGAATGTAACATGGGCGACTGCCTGAGATGCTGCAAGTGTTATAAAGTCCTGCCTCCTTGCACATCCTTTGATAATCTCTACAAAAGTACTGTTCATGGGCGGTACGTCTATGTGTTCAATGGAGGTGAATACTACAGACCAGTTGGCGCCGATAATATGTACGAGTGTGAATACTGCTTTAATAAACCAATCAGGGATCAAGAGCAGATGAGGAGAGAGGAGGAGAGGAGGAGAGAGGAGGAGAGGAGAAGAGAAGAAGAGAGAAGAAGAGAAGAGGAGAGGAGAAGAGAAGAAGAGAGGAGAAGAGAAGAGGAGAGACAAAAACTGGATCAAAGACTACAAGAATCGCAGCAACAAGCCAAAGAGCAGCATGAGAAACAACAGAGCAGCCACATTTCAGAAGAATATGAGTCCAAGCGAGATGTTCAGATGTGGCATCTGGATGAGTTTGAGGCTAAGTATGAATCAGGCAGGGATGAGCTTCTAGAAATCCTCTCTAAGAAATGCAGTTCCCCTGTTCCAGATCTGAGTCTCACTCAGCTGACAGCAGACCAGCAGCGGGAGATCCTGTCAGTCCTGGACAAACTTCTGTTTGATGAATGGATCAGTGCTCCCCCGTCCCTCAGCACTCTGCAGCACACTCAGGTGTTCATCACAGAGCTGTGTGCCCTGTCTCTGGAGATCCCCGAGGGAGTTCCCCTACAAAACATCTCCAATCAGGTGCAGTCCCTGGTGGACTCCATCAGCCAATCAGCAAGCAATGCTGCTGAGAGTCTCCTGCTGACTCAAGCCCTGTACCTGAACCTGATGCACTTTTTCACTGACTGTAGCAGCTCTGATACTGACGCAGTCCTCATAGCCAAACAGTGGGCTGGAGATAAGCTTTCCACTGAGAACCTCTGTCTTATAGAATTCCTGAGCACCCTCGCATCATCACTGCAGAATGTAGTGGGAAGAGCCTCTGTGTTCATTTTAAAGATGGAAATCCAGTGCTTGAAGCTTCTCTTATCCACACTCACACCTAACCGGCAAAGAAACCCACTCAGAATCCACTGAGATGCTCCTCAGACTTGTGCAAAGAAACCAATGGACCCCAACGGAGACAGTGACTCTGCTCAAAGCACTGTCACAGAAATATGCAGAGGATGTTTCAATAACTGAAGTCCTTAAGCTGGTGCAAGTTTATGACATATCACCAGAGTGGACGGATGAGTCCGGACACACTCTCGTCCAGGCTCTGGACTTTGCTGGTCCTGAGAGATTCCATCAGGATTTCCTAAATACTCTCAGAAGGAACGATGAGAGCAGTCTACCTGCAGCTCTAGCAGAAGTGAAGATGTTATGGAATTTGGATGATTCTGTGGTTGATATGATAAAAAACATTACCACTGGCGTCCTGCAGTACGCAGAAAATGCACCTAAAGATGCACCATTTGTGAAAGATTCCTTCACACGTGATCCCTTGAATGCAGACGACCTACAGAAGTCTCTGTCTCAGCTCTGCAAAGCAGTTTTTGACGCCAAAGGCTGGTGGCCCACAGTGAGGCAGATGCTGCGGTGGTGTGCGTTGGTGCTGACTCAGAAGAGTGGAGAGCTACAACTGGTTGTGTGGAAGAAGACCCATGTGTCACAGCCATGTTTGCAGCCACACAAGTCTGCATGGGAAACAAACTGGACATTGTGCTGATCGCTGATGTTCCCTCAGAGGAGCAAACTAAGGAGTGGTCTGACTTCTACAAGCACCTGGGAATCTCTCTCAACACAAACATGAAGAAAACAAATGCATCTTACAGGGAGGTCTATGAAGCAGACATTGTGTACGGTACCATCAGTGACTTCATCTCTGATTACTTTCAGTACGGCATCGAGGGGATGGGAACAGGGAACCCTCAGCTTAGACGTGGATTTATCATTGAACAACAAAGTCTCAGTTCTTCACATAATCTGGAACTTTCTAGGCTCAAGGACAATGATTCCCTGGTGTTTGCTGCAGAGGCCCTGCAAAGCCTCATGGGTAAATTTCAGAGTGAGGATATGGAACTGAGACACATGTTTCTTAAGGCTCTTTTTCAGGTGCTCCACACCAACCTAAACAACAACACAAACACTGACAATAAAATCATCACCATCTCACAGAAAGTTACTGGAAAGGAACTTCCTTCTAATGAGGTCTTTGTTCTGACCTTTCTTGAGAATCTCCTGAGAGTGGTTACTAGAGAAACAGAAGCTGAGAAAAACAGGACATCTCCTGCAGGCAAATGGTGTTTGGAGATTTTATTTGACTGTGCAGTGCAGTTCCAAGACTCAACAGCACAAATCAAGGAACTCTTCCAGATGGTTTCAAATCTTGGATTTTGGTCCCCCGTAAAGGCCTTAAACCTCCTTGGAGCATTAACTGACCACCATCATGATGAAGACTGTATTTCCATCATGAAGATTTTACACTTGATGGCAACATATCAGGTGTCTTCAACGTGGACAGACAAGGACAGCCAATCTCTCCTTAAACTCTTTGAGTCAACTAGAACTGAGAATCTGATCCAGCATTTAGAAAAGAGCCTGAGAGATGAGAAAACAAAAAGCCTTGACACTCTGTTTGATGAAATACGGCAGATGAAAGACATCGATGAACAAACACTGAGTAAATCATACAGTGTAGTAACTCATGTAACAAACCTGATCGAAACCGGTGAAATTAAAAACCACACAGATGTACAGCGAGCTAGGAATCTGAGTCACAGCACGGACACAGAAGACCTTCAGGAGGTCCTGGCAGTCTTATGCAATGCTGTAAACCTGTGCCAGGCTGAAGGGAAGTGGTGGCCCAGAACCACCCAGATGATCAGCTGGTGCCTCTTGGCCTTGTCTGACACTGGGATTCTCCTGGAGATGGGCACTGGAGAAGGGAAGTCTTGTGTCATAGCAATGTTTGCAGTGCTGCGTGCGCTTAGGGGTGAAAAAGTAGATGTGGTGTCCAGCTCTTCTTGTTATGTCAAAGAGATGCAGAAGAATGGACCAACTTCTACAAGTACTTTGGCTTGACAGCTGACACAAACACAAATAAAACCCAAGATAAAGATCGCAAAGAATGCTACCAGAAGGACGTGGTCTATGGCACTATCGAAGCCTTCGCTGCAGATCACCTTCGCCAGATATTTGAGATGAAGGATGTGAGGCCTGATCGCAGCTATCAGTGCATCATAATCGACGAAGTGGACTCCCTGCTGCTGGATCAGGGAGTGCAGCTGACCTACCTGTCCAGCCCCATGGTCTGCATGCAGCACCTGAACATCATCCTGGCCATGATCTGGGGCCACGTCAGCCAGTACGGCTTCCTGTCTACAGGAGACCAGACATTTGTCCGGGTCCTCCCGCTTCATTCTTCAAGGCCATCTTTGACTCAATAGACACAGAAGAAACTGACATTAATGATCCAATGGACATTTTACGTATCGCTGAAGAAACCAACACTGTGCCAAGTGGATTTACAGATGATACCTACAAAAGTGAAAAGGATGAACTTCTGATCAAACTGAAAACTGTGAGTCAGGATGCTGTGGTAGAGTTTTTCCAAGAAATTGAGGACTATGTCCCCTATGGTTTCACTGTTTACACTTTAGACAACAAGGGATTGCTCCGTCTTAGAAAACGCAGCCCGTACAACAACAGGGACATTCCAGAGGTTAAATTTCTTGTCTTGGAGGAAGGCTTGTGTTGTACTCTCTATGATTCAGAAGAAATTCTCATCAAGCCCATTGCAGAATTAATCTCAGAGAAGATTCAGTACACCCCATGCACAAACAATGAAGACAAAATCAGCATTCCTGGATTCTTGAAGAATCTGGTGGAGAAGAAAGTGTCAGTGTGGGTTCAGAATGCCTTTCTGGCAATGCAGCTGAAGCAAGGACGGGAATATGTTGTAGAAAACGACAACGTCTGTCCAGTGGATTTCAGGTCAACTGGTATAATAGAACTGAATAAGAAGTGGGGAGATGGTCTGCAGCAGTTTGTTGAGATTAAACACCAAATCAAACTGAGCACAATTTCAACAGTGACAAACTACGTGTCTAACATCTCCTTTTTTGAAAAGTACCATGGGAAAATATATGGAACAACGGGGACACTTCGGAGCAAAGCAGACATTCTGTTTTTGCAGGAGCTATATCCAAATCTGTCTGCCTGCAAAATGCCAACATTCGACCGGAAGAAGTTATTTGAGGTCAAAGGTACTCTGAAGACCTCAGCTGAAGAGTGGAAATCTGAAATAAAACGTGTGGTTATGGCTCAGATTTCCCCAAATTCATACAGAGATGGAAGAGCAGCCCTGGTGATCTGTGAAACTATCAACAAAGCCAAAGAGATCTACGAAGAGCTGAAAAGCAGCATCCCAGGTGAGATCATTCTCTACTGCCGCAGCGACAAAGACAGTTTGAGCAAAATAGAAAAGGAACTGCTACCTGGTGATGTCATTGTTGCCACAAACCTTGCCGGGCGTGGCACAGACATAAAAGTGTCCAAACGGGTGAACAACAATGGAGGACTATTTGTGATCCTCTCCTTCCTCTCTGAGAACACAAGAGTGGAACTCCAGGCTTTTGGTCGAACTGCTCGTAAAGGGAAACCTGGATCTGCTCAGATAATCGCGTCCACTGAACACCAGTCTTTCAGGACGGTGTCTTCTCTGGAGGAAGCTAAGAGCACAAGGGATAGACTTGCAGCAGAAAAGATAAATCACATGATGAACGATGTCACTGAGTTGAAACTGCGAGAGGACCTGTTTTCAGAGTACTGCAAAACTCTTGAAGATGTTTATAAGAAGACAGATGGAGAAGAGGAAAGAGCTGTTGTTGCCATCATGAATGAGTTCTGGGGGATATGGCTGCAAACAAAATCAGAGGAAATTGACCAGCTGAAGAGAAATGAATTGCAAACGAGTTTGAAAGCTGATTTGTCATTGGCACAAAGTCAGTCTCAAAGTCAGACTTCACCGTGTTCTAGCATTTATCACTACATCACGTTTGGAAATGTCACGCTGAGTGAAAAACCGGACGTCAGCGCCAGGCTATTTGAAAAAGCCATGAATCAAGATGAAAGCTGGGCAGCCATAGCTTTTTACAGTCATGCATACTGCACTATAAAGCAGCAGAAAGCAGATTACCTGACTAAGGCCAGAGATGATCTAAAGAAGGCTCAGGAGTCTCTGAAGTATCTCAGTGAACAATCCGTGGTCTGTTTGCAGTTTGTAAAAATGTCCTCTGCACACTCAGCCAACAGTAACCAAACCAGCCTTGAAAAACAGTTAACAACCAAGTGCAGCATGTTGAGTTACTTTGATAAAAACATTAGTGAGGCCATCCAGAAGCTGGATGAGATCAAAGAAAGAGGGAGAGATGCAATAGTCAAAAAATCCCCAATGTTCTCCCTGGTGTCGACTGATGCTGATGAAGAGCTCCAAGTGGAAGCCTACAACCTCTACAGTCAAGGTCTGAAATATGTATTTTCTGTGGAAGAGGAGCCTCGTTTCTCATGGGAAGGTCTGCTGGTGTTCTGTCTTGGAATTTTACAGATTATTGGAGGGGCACTGCTCACTGCATTTACATTTGGGACATTAGCTCAAGTCGGCATGGGACTCATCACTGAAGGAATATCAGACTGCATCACTGGCATAGAGGCCATGGTGACTGGAGAATTCAGCTGGACATCGTGGGCTATAGATAAAGCCATTTCTATAGGTGTATCTCTCATTGGGTTTGGAGTTGGAAAGCTGATTGCAAAGGGCTTCAAAGCTTCTAAAATGTTAATAAAGGCCTTTGGGAAACAGCTGAAGGCGATGCCAAAGTTTCTCTCCAGACAGGCTAAAGATGGTTTAAGTGTTATCACAAAGACAACTATGAAGAATGTAGTAAAGCTCACTGCTAAAAAAATGGTAGAGGAAATCATTACCTATGGACTTGGGAAGGCAGAAGAGAAAATACTGGAAGAAATACTGAACAGCATCAAAAATGACGTGAAAAAGGGAATTGTTGAAGATGTGAAATCCAATATGGAAAAAGAGCCCTTGGCTTCATTAGTAGACTCCATCGTCCTCTCACACCTTGAGGATAAAAACCAGCTTCATGATCTCCTGCAGGACAAGAACCAAAAGAGTGAGCTGCTGGCCATTTTCAAAGAGTTAAGCAACACTGCTGTACAGCCGTTCTATGCAGACCTCAGCTGGCAGAACAAACTCAACTCATCTTTGTCCACAGTTATTAACAAAGCTAAAGCAGAGGCCAGAGGAACAGCACGTGGAATTCTGACAGCCATCCAAGCTGTCCACATGGGAGTACTGGCAGGAGACGCTATTAGTACAGTGCACAGCCTCTCCAGCAAGTTTTTCTCAAACCTCCATGAACAGCTGAATATATTTAAAAAAGAGAAAGTGAAGGTAAATGAGCTGTCTGCTTCTGATGCTGAGATGCTGAAAGAATTCAAGCAGGACTTGGCTGACACCATCAGTGCTTTATTGGCTGATGCTTTTTTTGAAGTGTTCCACCAGAAGTTCTCCAGTCACATTGTTTCTCGTGTTCAAGGCAAAGTAAATGGCGTCATTGGCCGTTATGTAAGAACTGGCTTAAAGAGTGACAGAACAGAGGAAAAACTCAAAGCTGGACAGAACAACAGATACATCTCATACATGCCAGGAGACCCGAATGCTAAACATAAATCTGCAGGAGAGGCAGGTAAACGCTCAGAGTCACATGCTGAAAAGATCAGGAACCCTGTGACTGCAGGCACCATTCTCGATATCAGAGTCCTGTCAGAAGCCACTGGGACTAAGGTTGTTATTCTAACAGAGGACAGCCATGGCAGACTTACCAAGATGCAGGAGCTGAGCCCAGGAGCTAAATCCACCAGTCAAACTGTGACACTGATCTACAGACCAAAGAGTGCTCAACACCCAGACGGCCATTATGACGTGCGCATCAATAACCAGACAGTAAACATAGACAGCGAGAGCAAGAGCTGCCTGTTTCACGCTTTGGCACGAGGCATGAAACCGGAGGCCAGTGAAGAAGAGATCGCTTTAGAAGCAGACCGCCTCCGATCTGTGGAGGCCGACACTCTCCTCAGACATCCAGGCCAATGGGAGCCTTTCATCAAGCGCAAAGAGTGGACTGAAGCAATCAGAGGAGGGGACTGGTACATGGCAGAGGGAGCTGCACCAGCAAAGAAAAAAATCAAACTCATGAAAGAAACTGAGGAAGCTCTTGAGCAAGAAACTGGGCAAGTGAAACTGTACGAAGAGTGGCAGCAGGATTCAAAGGACAGAAAAGGAATTGGAAAGTTCATCAATGGAGATCACCAACCACCAGTAAACAGTATACTGAAAGCAAAGGAATTGAACCAGAATAGTAAATTAGCTACAGCTATGCTTGAGGTGGCAACATCCTCTTCTCCTCTGGATAAAAAGCTTATAGAGGACGTATACAACACTCATGGGCTTGGGCTTCCAATTGTTTATGTGCCAGAAGAGGTGCATCGTGAGTTCCCCAGTACAAAATCTCAAAGATTCAGGGACTTACTGGCTGAAACCATAAGCAAGGATGATGTTGCGGCCACCTTCAAACTGACCATCCTTGGTGCAATGCCCAGAAGTATGCTAGACAGCTCCAAGGAGTACTACAATTTTGACCAAAAGAAAATGAGTCCCACCAGGCTGAAGGTTTTCCAGGACAGTTTTCCAGAACATTCTAAAGCATTAGTGGATAAATGGTTCAACCTCCTGGAACACAAAACAGATCTCATGAAACCAGAGATTAAAAAAGAAATGGAGGACTGGATCAATGCTAAAAAATATGAAGATCAAAATGATCCCTTCAGGAACCAAGTCATCAGCACCCTTCAAAGGTAAGATCATTTCTAAAATATCAGATATCACATTTATAGCACAAAGCTTCTAGGTTGTGTGTATTTTGTCAAGAGTAGTGTACTGGAAACAAATAATTTGAATCAGCATAAAACCTGTCTGGTATTGGAATAGGAAATAAAGGGGTGGGAGGTCCATTGTGAAGGCTGTGCCTTCAGTATTGACCTACCAGTATTGTAAAACCGATAACTCAACTCTCTCTTCGGATAAATGAATCCATCCTCTCTTGGCTGGCCAGGCACCTGCAGTTTTATGAACTGCACACTTTCCACCAACATCACTGGAAATATGTGACTGTCCTGAATCATAAAAGCACATTGCCACAGAGGAGTTGTGTGCAGTCACTTCCTCCTGAATCTGTGGGAGAGTAAAAAAGATATACAGATATAATTATATTTACTGAAAACATTAAGAGACCACTCCTACACTGTAAACTTTGCATTATGGTGAGCAGTTGATCAAAGTGAATTTGTGTTTTCTTTACAGTGTATCGAAACCTGGCAATGTGACTGATTGAACTGAAGAAGTAAAATGAAAACTACAGAGATCTTCCAGCTCCAGGTTCATCATCAAGAGACCTCTCTGAAGATGTATCATGAGAATCACTTTTCCTTTGGTTTAATTCAAAATAACCTTTTACTATCCAGGGGGCTCATTACAGAAACAATCCTAACTGCTTGTCCTGTCTCATCTCAAAAGTGAAAGAAAGGAAACAAAGATTATTCTACTTTACCTTTGAATTCCATTATGGAAATCAAACATAGACTGTGCCATTGGACAGACTTTTCACAAACAACATAACTGTCAATGTGCCTATTTTACACCCCAACAGTTCTGCCTTTGGCCATATGATTCTCTTGTAGTGAGTTCTAAATATCTCCACTGAAATGTTCTACGTTCTGTCCATTTGTCCTGGTGTGTCTGGAAATCTAGGAGCAATGGTACGTGGTTAGGACAGAAACATACATTTAAATAGAAATTAGACAAAGTCCATGTTTAAACTATCTATTGCTGTAACTAATGATAATTTGTCACTAGAACGTTGTCAGTGGAGAACATCACCCGTACTAATTACTGTAAAAGGTCATAATAATCTTCCTACCATATATTTAGGGTTCCCCTTTTTCCAAAGATGCAGTTGTTGAGCAGCCACAGCAGGCTAATATAATTTTTAAATTTAAATCAGGTCTGTGCTGTTTTATAGTGAGGACTCACAATGTTTGATTTTAGCTTCTTGGATGCTTCAGTGAAGTCTGAATCCTGACTATAGGTAAAACAATCTAAAGTTAGAAAACCTCAGTCTGTAATGGGAAAAGATTTAGGATGTGTCTTTAATGAGGACCCTGGTTTGTTTGTTTTTACAGTACAAATCTTTTTTTCACTGTTTTAAAGAACATCAAAAAGAAGAAAACTTTAAATATCAATGTTGGACTATATATTATTCCTGATATTGTATTGTTATTGAAATCTTTCCATCACTTCAGCAGGCATAACGTTTCTATATGTGCTTTGATCATCAATTTGAAGCCATACATATTTCCTCATGTGTGCTAGACTGTTTGATTAATTTGATTGTTTTTTAATAAGAAATATCTTCTTCATGTACAGGACTGTGTCCTCATGGTTCAACATCCATTTAATGGGAAAAACAGACATAGCTTTTAAATCGATGCTCTCATCAATTAATGGAGCGAGCAAGCGACTAACTAACTTTTGCTAACTTTCAATTAAAGTAGGGGGCTGCAGAGAAACAGAAACTGACTGTTTGAAATCACAGAAGGTGCAGAGAAAAAGCAAGAAAGTGGATGTAACAATGCTGGGAAATAATGAAATGCAGGGAAATGATTGTGGGAAATATTAGAGGATAAAGCTTGAGATGTGCCTCAGACATGGATGATTAGTTGCTGAGCTGCTGATTGGATGAAGAGAATAGAGGCGGGACTTGGTGAATTCTTCCACCATAAAGTGATCTTGCTACCTTCAGATCCACCAGGTTGCATCCAGTTCTCATTTTCCTAAATCCTGTTTGTCTCTGAGCCCCTGCTCTGTGTCTACAGCAGCTCATGCTTTGTCTTACAGATGCTGTCAAATGTTTGATTCAGGGATTCAGTGTAACTACAAGTGCTACAGCTTTTGTGAATGAACTATACACTTTGCCATATAATCTGTGTGTTACTTTGCACAGTGCTCTTTAATCACGGCCTGAATAACATGTAACCTCATGTCTGAAATATTTCTGTCTTCATAAAGTGAGCTGAAAGCTACAGTGTCTTCCTCTGTTGTATTCTTCCACTGGGTGGTGCTGGTTACTCTGGGGGCTGAACAGGAACTGTATTCACTGCAGTAAATATCCAGAATACTCAGTTCAGCTGCTTCGTTTGGGGTTAAGACTTTGGGACGTGTTTTTACACAGTAACAGTGAACTGTAAAAAAAAATAAAATGGCAGAGAGCTTGACTTTAAATATGTTGTGACTGTCAAGATCTGGCTCTTGGACCGTGACAAATACGGAGACACACCATGTTGAAAGTATAACAAAGTCATTTATTTTTAACAAAGGATGAGCAATAAATCTAAATAGAACATTCCTCTATTAATGACGAGCGTACTACTCGTCATTAATAGAGGAAAACAGGAACAATCCCAGGTTTCTTTTCAGCACTGTAGCCAGGCTGACAGAGAGTCACAGCTCTATTGAGCCAAGTATTCCCATAGCTCTCAGTAGTTACGACTTCATGAGCTTCTTTAATGATAAAATTCTAGCTATTAGAGACAAAATTGGCACCGACTTATCTCTTAACTCAGGAACCTTAGAAACAGCTGTAGAACCAGATACATGTTTAGACTGTTTTGCTTCCCTCAATCTTTACCAACTAACTTCAATAATTTCTTCATCTAAACCATCAACCTGCCTCTTAGACCCCATCCCGACTAGGTTGCTTAAAGATGTTTTACCCTTAGTCAGCACTTCTATACTAGATATGATCAATCTATCTCTATCAACAGGCTATGTACCACAGTACTTTAAAGTAGCTGTAGCATTGATATATTATCACATAACAGTGATTATACACATTTTTTAAATTAAAAAGTATTGCTGAGGACAGTTCAGTAGTCACTCAGTCCTGAAGCTGTAACCACTGCTCGCTCTCTCTCTCTCTCTCTCTCTCTGGTGCTCACTCTGAATGCAGGCATGCTGAGTAATGTGGAGTGATTTTCCATCTGCTGCTTGGACAGAGGACCAAACATATCATATTACTTTAAAGGGCTTTAATGCAGAATGATAAATAAACACACACTCAAGCAATTCCCTAATATTTCCTACTGGAGGACTGTATAGAAGATGATGAGTTACTGAAGAACAGATCTGATATTAATGAATCATTAATGATTAATTCATGAATATCTGAGAAATAATCATACTGACCACTTTCTATAATTATCAGGGTTGTACTCTTTAACAATTCATCAACAATGAATTAATCCCTGATTTGTTCCTCACTTGTTTCATAATTATCTAATCATTAAGTAAACATTAGCTACTCTATAAATTGCTGTCCTCATTTATTCCCTGGTAATTACTGAATATGTTGTGTAACCTTATTGTAAAGTTTTACCGAGTGAAGCCACCGGCCTGAAAGACGAGCTCTTTTTCAGACTGCTCTGTAAACAGATGCATGTGGGAACAGATGATCTGGCTGCAGGATGTGGATCACAGTTTGTAGAAGTTTCCCATCAAAGCGCTTTCCAGTGGATGAGGCTGAAGCTTCTAGATGCTGTAGAAACTTCCTCATGAGCTCACCTGACATGTTGTTTGTTCCACAATCAGGAGCTAAAAATATTTTGTTTGTTTGTTTGTTTGTTTATTAATTTGTTCTGGAAAATATTTGGGAAATACATAAATTAGGGCCACTAATTTCCATTACACGATTACAACAATTACATATTTTGGACAGGGTGGACAGATGCTTCGAGAGATGACTGAAAGGGGCCATTTACACCAGAATAGAGAGACCATCACTAAACAGAGGAAGAGGGCCTTTTGCTAAGCCAGGTCCCCCTTAGTTACTGTTACTACGTCCAACAATCTTTCGGACCTTCATCATGGCGCTGCCGCTCCACACCCTGGAGAAATAGTTTTGGAAAAATGAAAAAAGCAATCTCAGAAGGGTTTGCATTACACATTTTAAGTTTTTCAGGCCGTCAAACTGACGGGAAACAAATAAAGACAGAAGCTACAGCCTACCGATCACAGAGTAACAGTGGACCACGTCACCTAATATTACTTAAGGAGACTAGACAGCGATGTTACGGATTAACACTGTTCCTGTAAAGCAGAGTAGGTCTCTATTCACTATTACGCAGTGTTGGGCAGTAATAAGTAATTACTTTTCCCAGTAACTAGTAGTGTAACTAATTACTTTTCTAAAACTAAGGCAAGTAACGCTGCGTTACTCGTTACTGAACGCACCTTCCTTGACGTGAATACACGACTGTGCGGCAGCTCAGCGGGACCGGACTTGTTGTTCATGCCAAAACTAAAGGAAGAAAGTAGAACGAGGGGGAGAGGCGTTCTTTCCGGCGTCTGCTGAAGCAGCGACGTGAAACTTAGAGAAAGAAACTCCAGCAGCGTCTGTCACTGATGCTCGGACTCATCGGGAGAGAGCGGCGTTAACGGAACGTTTTGTAACTGCTCTTATAAACAGAAACAGCTGTTTAAAAGTCGGGATTTACTTGCTTTCTTTTTCTATTTCAGCCGGCGGTGTTAAGAAACGTTGGGCCCAGGCTGTGTGCTTTGTAAAAAACACACTCCTGCTGCTGTTATGGAGATGATGTTGGTTAATAGTCGGGAGAGACGCTTTGACTGGCCAGCTGCTTATTCTGGGCGTGGCTTAGTGAAGGGTCAATTACAATGCTGTCCTTTCATCCCTTCGCAGGAGATTGAACAAAGACTTTTGGCCTCATGTGCCAACGTCCACAACTACTATCATTACAGCCGCCAGGAGCACTAATGAACCGAGCAGCATCCATCAGCAGTCAGACAAAACATCTTTAAGTATCTTCAACCAAGTCCAGGTGCCCTTGATTTTAACCTTCCTTGGTTTACAATGTAGTGTTTTTAGCAGAGCTTTTTACCTGAAACTGCTGCCTACTGCAGGCAGAAACAGGGTCAATGAGGGAATCAAAACAATGAGCTGAATGCTGAAATGCCCCGCTGAGCTGGGGGCCACTGCAGAGTCTAGTGAGACTTCTCTGTGGATTCATCACTACAGCCTTTACAACATTTCATTGTTAGTATAAACATGCCGAAATTAGTGCGGCTTTAAGTATTCCTATATACTGTTGCACGTGGTCACCCACAGCTGTATGTATTATGTGTGTGTAAGACACTTCTGTCATACATGTTACATGACTACTTTAAAATGTTGTCACATTGTGTTAAATTTTCTTAGAAGAGAGGAAACAGTCCCACTTCTGCTGAATTAGGCGACCACAAACATGAACGCACAGACGAGCGTTCAGGATGTGGTAGCTGTGGTGGCATAGCCCCCCCATAGTTTCATGTTAAACCAAATATAGCCCTGAAACAGGCACAAATGTACAAGCCTTCTCTACCTTTACTAGTTTGTATTTTGCTATAATAGCTACAGGTACTTTGGCATTTTGGCTCAGGTACTATATTTTGTTCTGAGATTTACAAACTCTAAAGCACATGTTATCATACAATGAAGGATGAAATGAATTTTACATTTAAACAGCTGCTATTTATTCGATGACAAATGTTTAACTTATGTTGAGGCTTATCTGGAGGTTACCAAGAGCAAATATCCATTACAGCAGAATGTGATTTATTTACTATAAAATGTGACAAATATTACGTAATAACACATCTTGCAGTACTTCACCTATATTAGCACAGTGTTATATGTGCTGTGATGACTTTTTCATCAAAGAGGGTTTCTGTGGTTTCTGTCTTGTGTGCGTCACAGTAGGTGGAAAAGATGTTGTGATATGTGTGTGTGACAACTTCATTCTCAACTTGATAATCCTCAGTATATAATTACAAGAGCATGTAGCATTTTCCAGTATGCCTAAACGATGAGTGACCAAAATGATCCCAGCAATCTCTGAGTCTGTTGTCCGTTCATCCGTCAGTCTAGTTTGGATATGTTACCAACTTCAGGGATCATTGATGCCGGCCTGCACAGCTATAGGACTAGGACACATCCCAATTTAGGAAAGGGCCACGGAAATCACATCCCAATGCAGATTTTGTAAAATGTACATATCATCATGTGCATTTTTTGTCAAGCAGAAAACAGATTTAAAAAGCCACCCATGTATGTAACTTAAACATGGCAATACTTTTTCCCCCGCATTGTCGTGCACTACTTGCACAGTAAAGCTACTAACCAGACCACAATGTATGTACATGTACAAGGTACACTATCTGTCTGCCTGTATAATAATAAAATGTTTAGTAATCAGTATAACAAATATACTGATACTGTATGTTTGTTTGTCCAGCTTTAGTTGTTTATTTTCATAATGATACCTACTTGTTGAACATAACAGCCGTATTATTGCATCTATGATGTTCATCTTTGTCTAGACTTGTTAGTCCTTCCTGTGTGGAAACACAGACAGTTACTAAGAAACGTCAACATACAAACCACAATATACCAATTTAGTTTTAGATTATATTGTAACGGTCATCATGACAGAAACACAAGATTTGCTCAGAAAGACTTTATTGGCAACTGACTGGAACAAGTAAACACATTTACGACAACAAGCTATGGTTAACATATATTAAATGGATATTTTGCATATTTAATCATCAATAAAATCAAATATAAATGTCTGTTTTAGTTTTAGGTTTAATTGTTGATGTGATACAGCAGGAAAAGTCCAATTAGAAAGAACTGTGGAAACTTTGATTTGTCTTGTGATTCCTCAGACACGTTTTCTCTGCGATTAAACTCAGAATTCTGACTTTAATCTCAGAACCAAAAAACAAATTCACATGTCACACACATTCACTCTTCCATACATTCCTCGTTTTCTCTAGCAATGTTTTCTTTCTCTTTTTCCTTGTCCACCTTCAGAATCGCCTCTTTGGCCCAGACACTGTTAGGGTTCGAGCAAATTCTTTTTCCAAGCTTTGTCTGAAACCTGCAATTGATTGTAATCTGTTAATGTCATTGTAGTGCAATTTCAATAATAATAAAATATATTTAATAATAATTTCTTAATGGGGTAATTGCTCCAAGTTCAAACTAAATCTTGTTTTCTCACTTAACCTTTAGGGGGAAGCTAGCCATGCAAATAGTTTGTTCAGGTTTTGAAATAGCAAAGCTTGATACACTGAATATAAGTATTCAAAAAAATTCAAATGTACCCTGTTGTTCTGAATAATACATAGTTCTTGCTGTGAGCTGTTTTCGAAGGGAAAAATGCAACAGATGACTCAAATCACGACTTTTAAAGGGGCAGCCCTGTGAATGCCACCTGCCAAAGTGGCTAATAAGAGTGACTGGGTTACACTCCACTGGCCTGCATTTGGAGAGAGGGCGGTGTGAATTTGGGTCAACCTACCATTTAAAATATAAATTACATGTGGATATTTGTTCCAGGTTGAGATATGGTTTAATTCTATACATTGGGAAATTACAGGACCACTTACATCACAGCTGCGATTGGACAGACGCCTTCAGACTGAATGGTGTAACCCACAATTCGGTTCAATGGGATTCGGGTGTTGGACCACTGCATACAACAGAGGGGCACCGGCCCATGGGCTAAACAAGACAGACATAGAAAGAGAAAGATTAATTACCCTTAATTTTACACTGCCAAACACTCAGACCAGACACTCTGAACTTTATTTGCAGTACTCACTTGCATGGACTACGCTCATCCATGTGGTGAAGCAGAGAAGAGCGGCCACCACCAGGCTGAGTCTCATCTTCAAAATAACACCTCGGCTTTGTTCTTCAATAGCAAACTCCTGAATCGCTCACAGAAAATAACTTCTGGCTAAAGTAGTTATCAGAACTCTGAATGATTCAAGTTTTGATCTCAGCTCTTATAAAACACGAGCCCTTTTACCCCCACCTCCACCCCTAACCCATGATCATGGAGTATAGTCAATGCAAAGATGAGAAACAGATAATTTACCACAGGTCTGCCTACAATGTAACAAACACAACTGTAGCACCACAAAAAAGTACAAACAGTCATAGAAATGTGTAGACATTCACACAGATACTCGTCACCTTCCTCTACATGCTCTCAGAAAACCACAACTTGCCTCTGCTCTTGGAGTCACTGATGATATGAAGCGTGGGAGCTGAAATGAGCATTGCATTTTATTAAATGTTAGATTCGGTCTGGGGAAATTTCTTGCGGTTAATTAGTTAAGATGAATGTTATATAAATGATGCATTCTTATCATAAATGCTTGTACCAGGTTCAAACTCTAAATAATCAATAAACCATCAGCAGCAGTATATCAGTGACATTCTCAGCCAATGGTCCTGTGCACCCACACAGGTGGTTGGAATTATTTGTGGTTATTTCTAAAAACTGCACGGGTGTGTCAAGACATCTCCCTGACTGTTTTTCTACTATGAAATATCCCACCTATTGTTTCAATAGAATGCCATTAAGAATTATATTTAGATCTACATTTTTATGGTTACCGGTAAGTTAATTTAACTATAAATAAACATATGTTGGCCAATAAAGAACAATGCAGAAAAGAGACGTTTGAGACAACTTACAGCAGTTTGCAATTAGAGTTTGGCCTCCAAGTTTAGTTTTCAACTGTAAAATATCTCACTCAGTATTTCTTGGTCACAAGAAACATCAGTCATGTTGTTATGTATATCAGCCAATCTGCTTTTTAAAACTCTCAATTATCTCAGTATCGGTATCTGCCCCAAGTAGTCCACCGAGTTCTGTGACCGTCATCGTTAGCAGTAAATAGCTCTGTCTAACGTTCATCTGAGCAGCCTTTCACGAAAGAGATGGTAGTTTTGGATGGCGGCAAGACGGTTTTATTTTACAACCCACTTAAACTTTCAGGAAGAAAGGGTAACAATAAATGTGTTGGATGGGGGAGGTAATTGTATTGAAAAGTACATTTCTATAGTGGTTTAAGGGCACACTTGCATCAATCCTCAAGTTTTAACACAGGATTTACCCAACAGTAAAGCCGGGCAACTGACAATATAATGGACTCCATTTAAAGCTTAAAATGAGATAGCAAGAGAGGATGGATCAAAAGACGAGAGTGAAAAGGGTGTGTAGAGAAGGTGAGGGTGATGCACAAAGAGATAGAGAGGTAAAGACACAAAGAGGATCTATCAAAATCCATTTAAGAAAGAAAGACTGAGACACCAAACAGGTGTGAATCAGGGAAAAACAGTATGCATGGCCACTGTGGTAGGCTCTCAGCCAGCACATCATATCCCAGTTCAACAAGGACAGCAAAAATAAACACTCCTCCTGCCGTCAGGACAGAAAACTAATGTTAGCTCCCTGCCCCTGACTCCTTCTGTCAACTACAGCAAATTCCAAGACACCTGTCGTCCGAAATGTCCTTAAAATCAGTGAATTCACCCAGCACAGTAAATACAAACATGCAAACTTGAGAATATACTGTCCAACGAAGGTTAAAGTCAAGGGCAACTGGACTTGGTTGAAGATACTGGAAGACGTTTCGTCCCTCATCCAAAGGACTTCTTTAGTTCTGACTGACTGGCAGGGAAACTGGCAGGGAAACTCAGCTATTTAACCTCAGTGGGGTCGTTGGCCCGGGTCATCGATACCGCTGGTTCGTTAGTGTTCCTTGCTGTGACGACAGTCGTTACAGTCGTTAAGACTACCTGTGGCCAAGACTGAACGACCATCGTTGGTATCTTCACCTGAGGCCAAGACTGAACGACCATCGTTGGTATCTTCACCTGAGGCCAATAGGTTACGTTTGTCGAGTTTCCTGGGAAGTGATGAAAGGACAGCATTGTAAGTGGGGGATAAGTGGTGGCGTAGACCCCCTCCCCTGTTCAATGACGGCTTCTCCACCCTGGTGTAGATGCTTCCTTGACACCTCTTTCAAACCATCCATCTTCTCTGTCTAAAATGTGCACCTGGTGGTCCTCAAACGAGTGTCCTCTGTCCTTCAGATGTAAGTAGACTGCAGAGTCTTGACCTGAGGAGTTGGCCCTTCTGTGTTGAGCCATGCGTTTGTGTCGTGGTTGTTTAGTCTCCCCAATATACAGGTCTGTGCATTCCTCACTGCATTGGACCGCATACACTAGATTGCTTTTCTTGTGTTTGGGTGTGCGGTCTTTGGGGTGGACCAGCATCTGTCTTAGTGTGTTCTTGGGTTTAAAAAACACAGGGATGTTGTGTTTGTTGAAAATCCTCCTGAGTTTCTCTGATAATATACACAAATATTGTCAGACATTACAAACATCTCACATTAGCGTGAGGTGAAATAAACGTAATATAGATCTAAACATACAGGTTTATATCATGGTCTTATGGCGCTGGTGGTGGACAGCATTGTCTTACACGTTGCTCCAAAATCTTGCACAGGTGTGAAACTGGGATGAGATCTGGTGACTAAAGGCCATATTTCTATTCACATAATTTTCATCCTCACCAGCCAGTTAGCCAGATGTAACAAGCATCTTCATTTGATGTATCTCTTTCTGTTTCCTCTCATTTGTCCTCGTCTGTATGTTTTATCACAATCAACTCTTGTGTTGACTATCCGACAGTGACTTCCTGCTGTATCCGTATTGTTAATGTTTACAAACTAGCTATAATCTTGTCAACCTGATTGTTCATACTGTGTACGCAACATCTACAGCATGTCTTTCTGTCCTGGGACAGACAGCCAGGTCAAATGGACATTAATTGAGGGGCTAAACAATTAATCCCTATGATTCCCATATCTTTCAAAAGGTCACAGAGAACATTAATGTTGCTACTAGAGCCCAGCATGAGAGTGGTGCTTTCAAAAGACAGTTTGTGTTGTTTAACAATTATTTTAAAAAGTTTCCTTACTGACCAAATTGGTAAAGGAGAGAAGTTCACATATTCAAGTTATACTGGCCCAGTACAAACCTTTACATAACAGCCACATCAAAACCATTCCAAAGTCACCTAAAAAATATATCAAAAATCAAGAATCTAAATGTCCAAGGAGGACCTCAGAGAAAATCATGCATGCATCTTTAGTGGATCTTCAGATGCTGGGCCGCTTGTAGTTCCCTCCACAAGAACAAAACATGGAGAAGCAGCTTTCTGTTTTTATGCTCCTCGTGCCAGGAACAAACTCCCAAAGCACCTGAGACTAGCTAGCACATTACAGTCCTTTAAGTCAGGTCTTAAAACATTCCTGTTCTCTGAGGCCTTTTTAACCTTTAAAATCATATATAAGTATTTTTTAGCTCAATCCAATAGTCTTTTCTTTTCTTTCTCTTTTAATTATATACATCATTAATATATAATTTTAATTGTGTTTTAATATCAACTTTTTATCTCTTTTCACAGCATTTCATCTCTTTTTCTTTCGTTTTCATTTGCTCTCTTGCATATGTAATGCACTTTGAGAGACAGATGTTTATTGTGTTAATCTTGAGTTTATGATATATTGCACATCTATCTAGCTCTATATTATACCTTGGTATCTGGTTTTGTATCTTTGTGTCTGGAAAGCACTTTGAATGACTGTATTGTTTGGAAGGTGCTATATAAATAAAATTGCTTTGCCTTGCTCTACTTCTTGATTAGGGATCATTCAGAGCACCTGCTGCACAGGGAGTGTCGCACTGACTCCTCAGCAGGGATTGAGTGCAGCTGGGTGATTTCCTCTGGGCCAATCAGGATGTGGCGACGCACATTCTGGAGGGCATAAGAAGAGGGGCATACCAGCACACTGGTGGCTTTTACCTGAAGCATTCTGACCCCCTGTACAATGTGTGCAGACAAACCCTGTCCTTTGGGATCTGCTTTTGTTAAGTGCGGGAATAAGTAAGAGTACTCTGGCCCTTTAGTTCAGGGTTGACATAGTGCCTAAAGCAGCCCTGGTGTTTAAATGTAACTGTAAAATTACCTGCTGCCTGAGAACCCCTATTTGTTTCTATTTAAAACCCCTTCCCCATTCATTCTTTTTTGTTACTTTGTTGAAAAGGCATAGTTTCCACTAAAATATATAGTCCTTTTCTCCAAGGGGGATACTTTGTTTTCACTTATGTGGATGGAAACCTGTGAAAACAATACGGCCATAATTGTATGCATGTCGATTTAACCCTACAGCCTCACGGCCGATGTGCTGCTAGTGTTGGCCTCTTTTGGGTTGCTGCGCACTAGCAAACTACAGGGCTTCTTACGGACTCTGAAGGTTACCTAAGCTAATGACGCACTGACTTGAAAATATGTTGCTTCCTGCATATGTGTGTTTATATTAAATCCAAATTGTATTTCCGTCATCTGTGTAACGGTGCAAAGTTGAAAGGAGTTCAACATGCAAAAACTAAAACATCGGAATCGGCTTTATTGGCCGGGTATGTGTAAACGAGGACTTTGACTCTGGATTATGATTTTGACTGTATCAATGTGAAACATAACATGTAACAGATTTAGCAGTGGCTATATTTACAACAATGAAACATCAATGGAAAAACATGTCAATTCACAAAAACTAATGTTCATGTTTCAGTTAAGCTATCAAAGCTCTCCGATGCCCAACTTTTGTACTTTTGACTCAACTTTATTAAAACAGTGTGTGTGTGTTGGTGTTTACATGACAACCTTAGCTTGGGAAGTGGCGTATGCTCGTTTCCAGCCCTGTTTCGTACGTACAGTTATAAATGAGACCGCTGACCCGGTGAGGCATGGACTCGTCATGAGGCATGTTCTGACACCTTTTTTATTTCAGCATTAACTTCTTCAGCTGTTTGACCTACAGTTGCTCCTCTATTGGAGGCCAGTTTCAGCTACCCACATGCATCAGAGAGCCTTAGTCACAAATGACCGTCACCGGCTCATGGCTTTTCCTTCATTGGAGCACTTCTGAAAGGTACTGACCACTGCAGACCAGTTTGGAGATGCTCTGACCGTCGTCGTCTAGCCATCGCAGTTGGGTCCTTGTCAGAGTCGCTGCCCATTTTTCCTGCTGACAGTTCAACTATGAGGACACAATGTTCACCTGCCGTCTGATCTGTCCCACCCACTGACGGGTGCCATGGTAACCCAATAATCACTGTTGTTCAATTTACCTGTTAGTGATCATAATGTTACGGCTGATAACTCTAACTTGATCTTGTTATACCGCCCTGTGGTGTTAAATGATAAACACACCTGGTAGTTTGCATGGTGTCCTGTCCCTGTGAGCAGTGGTGGAAACTTAATCCAGTATCTTAACTGGATCTCTGCTTGCAGATTTATCTTGGTCTGCAGTCAGAGATACTGACCTGGAAGGACCTGTAGAGTTAATGATGCACTTATTTTTAACAACCTGTAGGTTTAATGATATAGGTCAGTCTGGAAACTCTGATTTCAGTGGAACTGATTGGGTACAAGGTAGATAGCATTTACAACACAAGGGTGTGTCTCGACATTAAGTTGCAGTTCCCTTTGTGCTACTCCAAAAACAAACATTATGTACAAAAGGCATGTAGGGTAAATGGTAACATAATAAGTCATAGAAACAAAACTATTTCACATGGTGCAGTGCTGAGGATGAGGTGAGCACATACTTCTGTATCTCGTTTATCAACTTGTAGGGCTCCATGGTCAGGTTAGTAAGTAAAATAAAACCACTGACTTTTTGTCTCGCACAGGAAATGAACACCTGGGTGAAAGTCTGGTTTCTGGAGCTCCACCTTCTCACTCTGACCTTTCTGTACACCTACCTTCAAAAATGACGCCACAGGGCTACCGGCTGCGTTGAACTGTGACACTGAGGGGCTCCCCAGTGTGTTACAAAGTGACACTGACGGATCTTAACCAAGGCATCATATGCGACAACTTGGGAGTGAGAATGCGTTGGTTTCTGAGCACTCTGTACCTGTACTGTGGAAATGTGAGATGACCATGTCAGGTTTTCTGCAGGAACCTCAAACTGTTCACCTGCTCCACCTCAGCTCCACTGGGGTGTGTCCTTACATCCTTCTTAAAATCAACAACCAGCTACTTGATTTTGCAGGGATCCCATCAATCTGCATCCGAGTAACATGACTTTAAAACTTGAGTTTTCATGCAGGTAATTCGCCGATCTTTCCCAATAACATCTGTGGCTAGCAAATGCGTCGGCACCTTGAACGGTTATGAAGTCACCAGCGAGGCTCACTTTGGTCGGGTTTAGGTTTCACACATGACCTGTGGGAAAGTTCTGTCTGTTTAACCCATCCACCCACCCCAACCAACTCCGTTCCTTCTCTTTATACTACGTCACGTACTCCCCGTACACTAAAAGCACAGGCTGGTATTGGCGTATCACCGCCACACCGCCGTATGCATATCCAGACTTTTTGTGCACAAACTCTGATTTTTCACTTGCCAATATTATATGTTCACACTTTAAGAGCATTTTTCATTTGAAAACCACAAAATGTGTATCCAGATTCAAACACATTACTTGTATACCAATGAACATCCTTTATAAATAGATTTAGAATAGATATAAATACAGTTTAAGATTACTCACTTTTAATCTAATATTGGCTGTGATTTTTAGAAACAACTTGGCCACTAACAGGAAAATAACAAGTCCAATAAATATGAAGAGCTGCTTCAGAGGAAAGGCTCTTGTATTAATTAACTTATATTGACTCTATAAACAATTTATTATAGATAAGGTTTTGCCCGCTCAGATGGCACTGATATCTGGTCTGGCCCATATTTGGGTGGAGTCGCCTTTAAAATAAAGGATTAGGTCTCTGTTTTCACAGACAGACTTGGAGGAGACACCAGCGAGACGACATTCACAGGGTGAGTGATCTTTGTAAAGCTTTCATATCTGATAAATGTTTGATTTCAATGATGACAGACGGACAAAGGAACTGGTTTCAAATGATTGTGAGGTTGTTGAACTGTCTGGGGCCTCCTAACTTCAGTAAGAGGATTTCTGATGTCTATAGACATATCATGGCGAACTATGGTTCAATCATGATAAATCTCCTTTTGAACAAGCTCGTTATTATTTCTAATTGTAGAAGAATATATTATTTATGGTAAATCAATGAGCACTGTTTGAAAGTTTTGGCTGCCAGACTTTTTTACCACTTTGTACACATTAATCAGCAGGTTGCAGTCGACCTTTTTATTGATTCAGCTCTGAGGCATTTTTCCTCTCAGTTTTCTCTTCTGGCTTTTCTATGTTAAAGGGGAGCTGAGCAGGAGAGAAGTCAGTTTGAATGTGTTTCCTTTTGTGCTTTTAGTCGCCTTCACTGTAAAAACTAAACTAACAAACCAAGCCGGCTTCTTTGCTTCAACAAAAGGTTTAACAGTTGTGGAACACGGGAAAGTTTAAGGTCTGTTTTCTGTCAGATGCAGGTTTGAGGGGAGGAGGAGTAAAGTTAATCTGACTCTTCAGTGTGCAACTACAACCCCACCTCCCGCTGATACCTGCAGCTTATCTGGTTTCACACAATCATCCAAATGTCCAGATGAAACATGGCTGCCTCACAAAGTGCCATTCAGTTTAGATCTCCATGAAGCAGAGCAGTAACATCCTCCATCGGCTCCATGAGGCCATCTAGTGGACTGATGCTAGAAGTGGATCAGCTGATGGCAGCTTACTGCTCTCATTCTACCTGACCAATGAGAAAAAGCAGTTATTGATTAGTTTGAAGTGTAGAGTTGTTTTTGCACCCATGTATAGGTTGGCGAGGACGTTGGTTGATTTCTGACAATGTTCTAATACATAAACAGTAAATGTTGTCTTGTTTTTCCTTTTCACCAAGAGTCAAAGCAGCAGGAGTTCCTGTTATGAGTGAGTTAGTTGTTGTATCATCAAGTCATTCAGATATATCTTTTTTATTTTTCAGGAAACCACAGGTTGGACACAAAAATCACCACTTAAGTGCTGAAAAACACGTTAAAAATGGGGAACGTACCGTCAGAAAGTAACATGGGCGAAAACCTGAGATGCTGCAAGTGTGATATAGTCCTGCCTCCGTGCAAATCCTTCGATGATTTCCACAAAAGTACTGTTCATGGGCAGCTTGTGTATGTGTTCAATGGAGGAGAATACTACAGACCGGTTGGCGCTGATAATATGTACGAGTGTGCATGCTGCTTTAATAAGCCAATCAGGGATCAAGAGGAGGAGACCGGGTTACCAGCAGAATGTAATATGGGTGACCGCCTGAGATGCTGCAAGTGTGATAAAGTCCTGCCTCCGTGCAAATCCTTCAATGATTTATATGTAACTACTCTTAATGAGCAGCGAGTGTATGTGTTCAATGGAGGCGAATACTACAGACCATATGAAGTCTTTAAGCACGAGTGTGCAAAATGCTTTGAGAGTAAATGAGCTGAGAGGAGACTGGAGAAAGTCCTAAACGCTGTCTGAGATTAGATCAGACATTAGATTTAATGAGGAGCCTTTGGGGTTTTTTTACAGTCCAAATCTTGTTTCGACTGTTTTGACATCAAAAAGGAGAAAACTTCAAGTGTCAATGTTGGATTATACATTATTCCTGATGTTGTATTGCTATTAAAATGTTTCAGGCATAACCTCTCAATGTGTGCTTTGATTATCAATTTCAAATCGGTTGGATGCACCGTTCTTTTAAATCCTGTGTGCTGAACTGCTTCAAATAATTTGACTGTTTTTAATTAGAAATATCTTCTTCATGTGCAGGACTGTTTCCTCCTGGTTCAGCATCCATTAATGGGAAACACTTTCACTGTCAGACCTTTCTAAATTGATGCTGTCATTCAGAGCAGTTGATGAAGAAAAGTGTTGATTTTCATAAAATATCATCAGATGAAGAGAATACTTTTATTCTCCTTTCTGTGCTCGCTATTCCTTCCACAGTATATTTTGTCTTGTCATTATCTTTTTAGTGTGCCGATTGTGGTAACTTCAACAACTAGAAAAGTAAAATCAACCATATGTATCTCAGAACTCGGAGATTTCCCAGTTGAAACTACAGACTTCTGATCTCAAAGCATTCCAGGTGCATGATGGTTCATGGCACCAAAAGTGAACAAAAAACATCACACCTAACGTTCTGCATTATGTTACAGAATGACTGTTCCACAAGCCTGGCTTTATTTTAATATAGGGTTTAATTTTAATTTTTTTTTTTTTTTTTTTTTTTCATTTTAGGATTTAGGAACCAAAAACAGAAATAAGGTATGAAACGACAAACAAAAACCCCGTAGTTTTCTGTTTCTTGGTTTTGTGGTCAGAACGTGCACGGACCCAGATTCCTTAATTACATTTGATGGCAGCTATTTAGCTTGTAAAGCGTCAGCCATGACTGTATTGCTGCTTTGGAGTATTAGGTAATTCGCCACCCCGCTGTGTTGAATAACGTGACTGCTATCAACAGCACTGAGCCAGATTATTATCTTGGTACTTTGATATTTAGATGTTTTTTAGTGATCGGTTCTTGTTGAGGTCCTGATGCCTCACACAGCTTAATCTAGAAGTTATTTTGAGCACCAGAACCAAACTGAGACATTAGAAACCTCGAGTTAGCTGATTAGAGAGCTTTTCTCTGGTTGACATTTCTGTATTATATATTACTAATTCTAAAATTCAAATACATTTTGAGATGCTGGAGGTTTGATTTCTATGAGTTGGAAACCGTAATCAAGATGAAAACAAAAAAAGGTGCTTGAAATATTTCGCTTTGTGAAATGAATCTAGAATAAAATAAGATTCACTTTGATATTTAATTATGCAAGAAAATTCACTTTTTCACATTATTCTTTTTTTAAGACTCAATCCTGTAGTTTACTTTTCACTACCTGAAACATTTATTACACTTATTTTCCTTCACAAACGTAACTAGTTAGCACTTCCGGTCTGTATGAGACAGACGCTGAAGGAACCTTTTGCGACACCCTGAGATGAGAGCGATCTGGCTTTTTATTTTTTTAGTGAATCTCAACAATGTAATTATTGATGACTCTAAACGTTCTTAAATATGAACTTTAAATCATTTAACAACACTGACGAACCCCACACAGATTAGTATCTCTTTATGGTAACATTAATTGGAGGTGCATGGCACTCCTCTCTGCAGCCTGGTACTCAACTCTGCAGCCACTTCCCCCTCCGCTCTCTGCCTTTCAAAAGACTTTGTGTCCCCAACAGTTGAGGTGCAACCACTTAGAATAGAATCTGAGTAGAATCTAACCGAAGAGTGCCAAATTTAACATTACTCCTTTAGAAAGTTTTTAATCTAAAATAAAAGATGATGAGTTACTGAAGAACAGACTGGGAGATCTGATATTAATGAATCATTAATGATTAATTCATGAATATCTGTGAAATGATCATACTGACCACTTTCTATAATGTCCTCCATTATCAGGGTTGTACTCTTTAACAATTCATCAACAATGAATTAATCCCTGATTTGTTCCTCACTTGTTTCATAATTATCTAATCATTAAGTAAACATTAGCTACTCCATAAATTGCTGTTCTCATTCATTCCCTGGTAATTACTGAATATGTTGTGTAACCTTATTGTAAAGTTTTCTTTTTCTTCCACAATCAGGAGCTTAAAATATTTGATTTGTTGTTTTAAAAAAAAAAAAAAAAACTTTGGGAAATACATAAATTAATTTGAGCTCTCGCCAAATAATAAATGTGGGCTTTTATTCCTCTGTGACAACACATCTTAATTTAAACAGCTACAACAGAACTGCAGCTGTTTATAGTGCAGTTACTTCATGTTGAGCTCATTCTGTTAACACAGCCTTTAAAGATATTTGAACAGAAACAAACATGGCGGAGAAAGCTGCTTTCATGTCCGCAGCTTTGTGAAACCTCAGAGGAGCGACCTGCTGCAGTTAGTAACACAAAGAGTGACTAACTGCTGAGCCTTAGTGCTGATAACAGGTCAGTGCACCAGGGAGGGCCGAATGTAAAGAAGGGCCTCACCCTCTGATAAACAAAACAAAGTACAAAAAAACACAGAATTAAAGACTTAAGGCTGGTGTAGTTTTATTTTTCTTAATAATCAAATCTCCTGAAAACAGTTAGTCCATCTCTAAATGCGGTCTTACTTCCCAATGCTGTATCAGTTCTTACTGATAAATGTTTATATGCATCACTAGCAATCAGTATAATAATCAGTAGGAATGTTTTCTGAGAGACCGAATCAGAATAAACTATAGTGTGTGTGTGTGTGTGTGTGTGTGTGTGTGTGTGTGTGTGTGTGTGTGTGTGTGTGTGTGTTCATGGTGGTGAAGGAACGTCTCGGGTTACGTATGTAACCCTTGTTGCCCGAGAAGGGGAACGAGACACTGCGTCGGTGACGACACTATGGGAACGCCTCTGAAGGGCGTGGCAGGGCTGAATCATGAATGAAACTACTCCAATCCTGTTGGTGTTGCTAAAACGGTAGCGTGTGACGGCGTAACTGGAGGCGTATATAAGCACGCCGGCACACAGGACACATCAGCTCTTCGCTATGAAGCAAGGCACTCCAGGCAGGGTGAGGTGTGGCGGATCAACGCAGTGTCTCGTTCCCCTTCTCGGGGAACAAGGGTTAGACACGTAACCCGAGATGTTCAAGGGAACTCGAACTGCGTCGTTGGAACTGCGCCCCCTCAGGGCCCCACAGCTGCCACAGGGCGGGCCGCGGGTGAAAGACCTGGCCCTCCGCCTGGGACAGCAGGTCTCTCCTCAGAGGGAGCAGCCAGGGCGGGCCCTCCAGGAGCAGTATTATGTCCAAGAATCCTCTCAGGTCGGCCAAAACGGTGCTACGAGCAGTAGGCGGACACCGACCTGACGCTCCCGCTCCAGAACCCCCGGGAGCAGAGCAATTGGGGGAAAAGCATACAGACGTCTGCACCATGGCATCCAGCCCTAGCGGGGCTGGGGGCGAGAGGGAGAACCACAGTGGACAGCAGAGAGCGAACTTCTTGTCCCAACACCTGGCTCTGCTCCGAGTGCACCGCAGTCCAGACCACCCCGCTGAACCTGGGGGGTCGGACCCGGAACTGCAGCCTGTAGCCATCCACTACGGTAGGCAGGACCCACGGGGAAATGTTCGCAAGCCCCTCGGGGCTAGTGGCCGGTGGGGAGGAGGCGGGGGGGTGGTAGTGGGCCCCCCTACTCGAAACCTCAGGACCTCTTTCCCAGGGCCCACCTGGGGACCGAATGATGGTCCTCAGATCCGTCTTCTCAGGGGGCTGTGGGCGAGAGCTCCACCTCATGTCCCAGGTTTGTTGACGGGGACCACAGGAAGCAACGCTTCGCTTCTGGCTCTGGCGGTAGGAGCTAGACGAGGGCTGAGCTCGTCTCTCTTCAGCCGTCGCAGTCCTGGACCCAGACCGGCGGGGGTGATACTGCTCAAATGCCTCTCCCTGCGTTTTGACGTGCTGGAACCTGCTGACGACAGTGTCCACTGCCTCACCAAACAGGCCAGTAGTTGTGAGGGACGCATCAAGGAGGAAAGCCTTTTCCTTCTCCTGGATGCCCAAAAGGTTGAGCCACAAATGGCGCTCCGTGGCCACCAATGCTGCCATGGAGCGGCCAGTGGAACTGGCTCTTTAGTGACTCGAAGCGCTAAATCCTCCTCAGAGGGCCCCCCCCCCTTGGTCACAGTCCTTTAGCAGATCGGCCTGGTATGCCAGGATGGCCATAGTGTGCAGGCTTGCACCTGCTCGACCCGCCGCCATATAAGCCTTGCCCACCAGAGCGGATGTCGCCCGTCATGGCTTGGTGGGCAGCGCCAGCGTCTTGAGAGATGACGCTATGGTGGGAGAGAGGTAGCTCGCTAATGCCTCCTCAACCCGAGGCACCGCTCCGTAGCCTCACTGCTTGATCTCTGCCCCATTGCTGTAATCCAGCAGAGGGGAAGTAGTCAGCCGTGCAGAGAAGGGTTTATTCCATGATTTACACAACTCATTGTGCAAATCAGGAAAAAATGGCAAGGATCGGGGGGCGGCGCGTCGTGCTGCAGAAAACGCTCATCTAGTTTACTGCCGGTCCAGGATTCCTGCACCGCTTGTGGCCAACCAATATTCAACTTGGCCACAGCCCGCGTCACCAAATCCAATAGTTCATCATAGCTGTGCGCAGACTGACGACGTCGGCCCGGCTCCCGGAAGTCATCCTCCATGATGCCAAGCACGTCTAACTCCTCAGAATCAGACTGTGCGAGCCTCTCCGGACTCATACTTCGGGTGGGAGAAGCCGAAAAACGGGCTCCCGAACGGGGAAGAGGGGAGGCAGAGTCAGCAGACAAGGATCGGGAAAAGGCCTTAGCCGTCCCGACGCCCTCTGAGATATCACGTTGCAATCCCCACGACCGCAGCCGCTGCGACGCCTCAGCAACCGTGGGGCCTGAGCCACGGGGAGAGCGCATCCGACCGTCTTCCGAAAAGAGAGCCGCACGAGACCTCAACACCCTCAGGGACAGGGCCTCGCAATGGCGGCAGGCAGCCCCCTTGAGAGCTGCCTGGGTGTGCGACATCCCCAGACAGGAAACATACATCTCATGTTTATTCCCAGCCGTGATGTAGCGTGGGCATGGAAAAACACATTGTCGGAACTGGTTACCAGACATGGTCTCTTCTGCTTCGTGAGGACTTCCAGGTAAGACAACAATTTCCTTGGGAGCTTTCAAACATACTCATAGTGCCTGCTGACTAGAAAAAAGCTGATTTGTCCTGTGTGCCGGCGTGCTTATGTACGCCTCCAGTTACGCAGTCACATGCTACTGTTTTAGCAACACCAATAGGATTGGAGTAGTTTCATTCACGATTCAGCCCTGCAACGCCCAGAGGCGTTCCCATAGTGTTGTCACCGACGCAGTTCGAGTCCCCTCGAAAAGGAACTTGTCAAACAGTGCAGCAGTGAGGCTCACTGATAAGTTTTAAAGGTTCAGTGTGTGAGATTTAGTGGCATCTAGTGGCGAGGGTTGTGAATTGCAACCATCGGTCCAGTCTACCACTGCCCCCTAACCTTTGACACAGCGTAGGACAGCTACGGTGGCTGGCACAACACAAAAGGTGTCTCTTCTGAGACAGCAGAGAGTGGCCAGTCAAGAAATGAGGGTTCTTTAGGTATATTTATTAAGAAATTATATTTACTTAATTATTCAGTAAAACCACATGTTATTGTGACTTGGCCACTGACAGACAACATGGAAAATGCAAGCCAAGAGTGTGAAACACTGTCACTGTTTCTGCACCACAGTCCATTATAAACCACATATTAAATAATGTTTATACAAACATTGACAAGGGAAACACATTAATTCTCTGATTATGGACCCTCACCAAAACTGCCCGCCATATATAATATCTAGCCCACTGCCAGATTACGGTGCTATGATAGCGGCAAAAACTAAATAAATACTTTGATAGCTTTGCTTAAAAATAGATCTCCGTCATGACAGCAACAGTTACTCACCAAAATCGCTTCCTCTTCAGTTGTTTTGGCTGCAATTGCAAAAGCATCTGTAGGTTGATGGACGAGGATCAAACACCGAAACAGAAACAGTGCAGCCGTGTTCTGAGAAACATTCGCTGCAGAATCCGTTTGTTGAAGAGCGGGGGAAAAAATTGTCCTACACAAATCCTGTACTTGAGTAAAGTACAAATACCCTTGCTAAGTATTACTCCAGTAAAAGTAGAATTCTTCATTTTTAAATTATAAGTTGAGTCAAAGTACAAAAGTACTGATTTTAAATATAAGTATCACAAGTAAAACGTACTATTAGTATGCTTGTTTGACAAACATAATTTAAAAATATAGCAGGTAAACTTTCATTTTTATTAAACCCTGCCCTTTCAATGATAATTAAAATGACTCAGTTATTGTGTGTGTGTGTGTGTGTGTCAGTCGTGGACAGTGTTCAGTTCCTTTACTTAAGTAAATGTACTGATACCACAATATAAATATACTCTGTCACAAGTAAAAGTTCTGCTTTAAAATATTAGAATAATCAAGAAAATGTATTTAAAGTAAAATGCAGATGAAAAATAGCCTTTAAGCTAATTCTGGCATATTGACAGAAATGTTTATGAATATGCACATGGTTATTTCTCCATTAGTCGATTTTCAAAATTTGGAAAATAGTGAGAAATGCTGTCAGAATTAAAGAGGTGGTATTCTGCTTTTTGGCTTGTTCCCTCTCCTTTATTGAGTTTATATCTTTTTTGTGCATGTAACAGGTTTGCAAAGTGAAAGTGCCCAAAGTCCAGCCCAAAGGGAGTTCCCATCTCCCACAGAAAACTCTGCTCTGAACTGAAAATAGCTGTTTGTAGTCCAGCCCTTCACTTCCTTGTGAAATCACGATGAAAACGCATCAAAGTTCGCCAAGCGGCTAGCGGGGTCAGTCACGCCCTCAAACCAAGTTAGTCTGAGCGGAGGCCCTTTGGCTCGACTCACCTTTGTTTGGTTTTCCATTGTAGAAATGTTGTACCTGTACCCGCTTCCAGGTACTTTTTTTCATATCACCTCCGTCGTGGTTCCAAGTGAGCTGAGGGAAACTAAAATGTAACGTGAAAACACAACAGACTGCTGATTGGTCAGAGAGAATCGTCACTATTCACTGCATCATCATTGCTGCACCAGACAGAGGCCAGCAACAGAAAGTTTTATGTTACAGTTTTCATACATTGTTTCATCACTAAATCCACTTCTGAGAAGTTTTGAGGTGAAATCAGCTGTGTAGATTTTGAATATTGACAGTTGTACGAAAAGTGATGACGGAGCAAAAATGTGCTTGAATATTTTCGGCGTTGAGGAGCTCCGCAAGTGGCTGCGGGGGAAGCCTGCTGTGACCCGCGGAGGAGGAGCGTGTGAGGCCGGCCAGCCGCCCGCTCACAGAGCCCTCTGCTCCCGCCGTCACACAGACCGCTGCAGCAACAACGGCAGAGGAAAACACAGCTGGAAGGTTTTCATACCGCTTATCTGTCTTTACATCCTGAGGAAGGTTGAAACGTTTTAACTTAAAAAGAGAAAGCTGTGTGGGTCGCTGGTGTGTGTGTGTCGCATTGAACATTACGTTGCGGCAGTTGTGTGTGGCGTCGCTATGACAACAAGCTACGTACTATCTCTGAGTACTATCTGCAATGGAAAACGGAGCAGGGCCGAGTAGAGTCCAGTCTATCAATTTTCCCTATGGAAGCATTTTTCAGCAAGGCAGCATAGATCATCAGAACACCGGCAACAGTTCAACGTTTAGTCCTGATGGTCAGATGTGGAACAATGATGTTGTGGACTTGTGAGTAACTTATACCATCTGCTAGGTTACGGTCTCAGTCTGAAGCGGCTTTGATTTGGATCACACTACCTTGTTTCTTACGACCCGCCCTTCTCTGCTTCTGATTGGCTAGTAGTCCTTACCTGGGAACTGCACATGTGCAACTCCCAACAAAGATTTTATACAAGTAAGATGCATCACTCTGTAGCTCGAGTGGAGCGTACAACACACAGGGTGTGTTGTAGTTTATGACTGCTTTTGTATTACTGTACAGCAGCAGGGAGTCACAAACTTAATTTCACTTTACAACCTGTTGTTATGTGACAAATAAACCTTCTTCTTCACGGTCTGCTGAAGTTAGCTTAGCATGCCAACTGAAAATGGAATGACAGGCTGTAACCTAGCAACAGCAGCATTTGGTGATTGTTTGGAAGCGAAGAAACTGATTTTAACTGATTTTAACTGATTCTGATTGTTTTGACTGACTAAGTAGCTGCTGAGGACATTTTCTCTACATCGTGAGCTGCATGTCAAAACTCCAAATGCTGAAATCGTTGGTGAAACAGCGACTCGACGCGGCCGCTGAGGAGATATTTGGGCTGTTTGAAAGAACAATAGCAGAATATGAGGAGGAAATATCTCGTTTAAGAGAAGTGAGCGACAACATAAACTGCTGGATGCTGTTTTCAGCCCAACATGTCAGGTACACAGATCAGGTTGGTACATTTTCACTTTCATTGTCATCTAGACAGTTACAAATATCTTATTTCTGGTGAAATTCTTCTGGTGAATTGTCTCACGTCTGACAGGTTAGTGCTACTGAATGGGTTCAGCTAGCAGGAGTTAAACCACAGCTAAAAGTATGTAAATATAATCAGGAAAATAGTAAAAAAGTAAAAGTATTTAATGAAGAATTAAAAATATCTCATGTGACTGTTATAATATATAGTATATATTTAATATTATTCATGTATTTAGATCAAGCAGGATTTAACTGTTGTAGTTGAGGTTGAACTATTTTGTATCAGACTGCAATTATTGACTTGTTGCATTATGGATTAATCTGCTGAATATTTTCTCCATTAATCAACTGTAAATCAAATGATGAAAAAAGCAGCAAGAAAAGAAAATCTTGCTGGAACCAAAAAAATTTTTTTTTCATGAAAAAATTACTTCACAATTTAATTTCTGTCAATCAACGAATGTACTAGCTGTACCTGTATAAACTGTTGGGAAGTTTAATTTATAACAAAACATAATATTTGTTAATCTCTTTATTCTGTGTGTAAAAATCTTACTTTGTAAAGTTACTAGTAAGCTGCCAGATAAATGTGAGCAGAAGCAATTCTTTTCCTAACACCACAATGACTTGTTTCATTATGAATTACTCTGCTGATTATTTTCTCCATTAATCGACTGTAAAAATTCTTAAAATAGCCGCAAGAAAAGGAAAAAAAGCAGCAAATCTTCACATTTGTGAAGCTGGAAGCAAAAAAAGTTGATTATTATTAAATGATTATTAGAACAGTTGGCAATTACATTTCTGTCAATCAACGAATGTACTAGCTCTACCTGTATAAAATCTTGGGTAGTTTAGTTCATAACAAAACATCATATTTTTTACACTCTTAATAACTTTGTGTGTAAAAATCTTACTTTGTAAAGTAACTGATATATAAAGTCAGAATATATAGTCAAGTTAAAAGATGTAGGGCTCATCGGCGAGCGCCTGTTGGCTGGGTTTGTGACAGGATTCTGACTGCTGTATGTGCACAGAACAGCAGTTCAGAGTATTCTGCCTTCTTGGAGACCCTGAATTGAGTCCTGTATGGGGCTCGATCAGGAGACTGCATAGTTTTGCTGAGAGACTTGGGCAATGATGAAGACACCTGAAGAGGGATGATTGGGAGCAGTTCCTTATCCAAACCCTAGCAGTAGTTTTTGTTAGACTTCTGTGCTAGTCATGGATTATAACAAACACCATGTTTGAACATAAAGATGCTCATAAGTGTACGTGGTACCAGAGCACTCTAGGCCGAAGGTCAATGATCAGTTTCATGTGCCATTTAAAACGGAGGCCATATGTTTTGGATACTCGGGTAAAAAGAGGGATGAGGCGGTCACCTAATCTGGTGATCAGTTGAGTGAGGGGGTGGACAAAGACTCTGGACACACCTGGTAAGCCCAAACGGGTAGTGCTGGTTAACTGGGAACATTTGGGAACATGTCTGTTTTCATTCCTACCCTCACCTATGGTAATGAAGTGTGTGTCAGGACGGAAATAACTAGATTGCAGGAACAATCAGTCGAAATGGGTTTTCTCATTACAAGTTGGCTCCTGCTTGTAACAAAGAGTTACAGAGACAAGAGAGACAATGATTTTATTGTACCAACTAAACATAAAAATAAACTTCAAGACAATGTGGAGAGCATACAGTATATCTCCACACTGGCCTGGTAACGTCCTGGATCCCCGGTGAGAGCCGGGTAATATGGCTTGGGAAAGGGAGGTTAAGGGTCCCCTGGTAGAGGTGCTGCCCCCACGACCCTACCCCGGGTAAGCTGTTGAAGATGGATCGATGGATGGAAAACTATGTCCTGGTAATAGCAAAGATATATCTTGAGTATCGCTATATGGAGCTGCTGTGCTGGCTCTGCGATGTCTCGTCCTTGATGCTTTGTTTTCTTTGCAGTAGCAACTGTAGGTAACCACATGCAGTCAGCATCAATATAGTTACTATTGTTCTTGTCGTCTGTGCTAATATTTGCTAAGGGAATTCCATCTTTCACATTATTGAGTTCTAATTCATTTTATAATTTTTATTACTTTTCTAGAAAATGGCTGCATTTTGGTATTTTAGTTGAAATGAACTGCTAAGGATCATCTGGAATCATCACAGTTGTCCATAATGTTTTGTGCGTGTTGCAGTGTTTCCTGCGGATGTCCAGCAGCTGTTGGTGATTAAAGAAGAGGTTCCCCCCGAGTGGAGCCCCAGCCTGGACCAGGAGGACACAGAGCCCCTACACATAAAAGAGGAACAGGAGGAACTCCGGACCAGTCAGGAGAGAGAGCAGCTTCATGGGCTGGAGGAGGATGAGGTCACCAGGTTCCCATTTACTGCTGTTCCTGTGAAGAGTGAAGATGATGAGCGGAACCCTCAGTCTCCACAGCTTCATCGAACTCTAACTGAAGACTACAGAGAGGCAGAGCCTTCAAACAGCAGCTCAGCTACACAGACAGAAACCGATGGAGGATCAGAACCTGCCAGGAACCTCGATCCAGATAGTCATTTACACCCAAATACTGAAGAACATGCTTCAGACTCTTCAGACACTGAATTCAGTTATGATGAGTGGCAAAAACCTTTGTCAGATTCTGAAGCTGAAACTGAGGACAGTGACAATGGTTGGAAGGAGACCAGGGCACCCGAGTCAGATGATAATGCTCTGAGATATAAGCAAGCACCTGTAAGTGATGTGAGTTGTAGTGCTGGAGAAATGTCCTTCAGCTGCTTTGAGTGTGGTAAACATTTTCACTACAAGGGGTCTCTTCAGAGACACATGATGTGTCATTTAGGAAAAAGGTTTAGAGGGAAGCAAAATGTAGATTCACACACGAGAGTGCACACAGGAGAGAAACCATTCGGTTGTGATGTTTGTGGGAAGAGATTTACGGTCCAGGGAAGTATTAAGAAACACATGAGAGTCCACACAGGAGAGAAACCATTTGGTTGTGATGTTTGTGGGAAGAGATTTACACAACAAGGAAGTATTAAGAAACACATGAGAGTCCACACAGGAGAGAAACCATTTGGTTGTGATGTTTGTGGGAAGAGATTTACAGTCCAGGGAAGTATTAAGACACACATGAGAGTCCACACAGGAGAGAAACCATTTGGTTGTGATGTTTGTGGGAAAAGATTTAACCAGAAGCAACATCTTAAGACACACATGAGAGTCCACACAGGATAAAAATTGTTTACCAAGCACGTTGGTAAAGACCACAGCAGTTTTCATTGTGTCTGGTTGTTTTGTTGGATTTTATTTTTTACTTACTTACAGCACTGTATAATTTCAAAATATGTATAAAAGTCTTCTGGTTAAACTGTTGCTTACTGCCTACTAAAGTTATTCACCTCATACCAGAAAGATATTAAATCTTTCTGGTATGAGCACCAGTGGCAACAAACTGTAGGTCTGTGATGGAGAGAACAAAAAGAAACCAAAGACACGCCACGTCAGTGTAAATATTTGTATTTAAAATGCACATTTTCTGTAAAGTCTAATTAATATACTGTAAATTCAAACTAAGTGATGCAGACATCTGAAATACTGGATGGCATTGCAGCTGAAAATGTGGATAGTGCTTTCTTGTTTTGTTATTGAGCCTTTGGTTACACTTTATTTTACAGGTCCCATTATTTTGTGTAATTTCCCAGAAATGAGCTGATATGTAACTGGAAACACCTGGAAAGGTTCCTGGAAATGTAAGATGGTTATTACAGGGAAAGTGGAGACAAATCCAATGTATTGCTTTGTTGAATTTTATTGAACGTACAGTTTAACATACCTGAACAATAAATCCTTGCACATGACAATCACCATCGCATTAGCTGTTTTTAGTTCACATGGATAACGATTCTCTGTGTAACGTCGCCACGGAGGGATCTTCCACGGTGCTGGAGATATCTGCACCAGGGAGATTTCAAACTGTACAGATAACAACAGTCCTCACACTTCCTCAGGAGGAGGAAGAGCATTCTTGGGGACGGTAGATCTGGTATGCAGGGCCTCTCTGTCTTCCTGTCTTTCACATTCTCTTTACACTCTGGAATACCCGAGCACAGAATCCCGACCCAAACAGCACTGTGCCGTGAGAGAGACAGAGAGAGAGCTCTTTTTTATCACAATATGATGGTTGATATTGACTAGGGATGCAACAATTACAGATTTTATTGGTATGATTATTTTCAGAGAAATAATCAGTTTCACAATTATTACGCATTAATTAATTTCACAACACTTGTAATGACTTAAGTTGATTTTAATATTTAATTACATTAACAATTATATTTCTATAATATGTAAGTATTATTAAGAGGAATATTAACTTTTATCCCCCAGGGGAAATTGATATCAAGGAGGGGAATAAACTGAACTGTTACTGTTATCAACTCTCATCCGTACATATGTTTTAGTGAAAATGAAAGAAAGAAATTGAGCGCAGTATTAACTGAAATGCAGTTAATTGGTAGCCTATAGTCCTGAAAGTCTAGAAGCTCCTGATGTATGTTGGTGTTTTACACCTGGCAACATTTTCTCAGCACTGACAGGAGGAGGCAACAGGATGGAGCGTTAAATGTTCAGTGACTGAAGGTGTTATGAGGACTACATTCTGTCTTCCATTAAGACTCATACAGAAAGGAAGAAATTTGCACTGCGTGGAAGCTGCTCAGCACTAATGTTCAACTACTTTGAACGCGCCCTGCACGCGGGCTCTCCCTGCGGTGCACGTTGCTTGACGCAGCAACAAACCTTTGAAAATAATGGGCCTCGTAGCGCAGCGGTGCTGTCGTTGCGGTGGATCTAAAAGGTTACAGCTGCTTTGTTTGTTTACGTTGCACTGAAAGCTCGACTCTCACCGCTAAGGCATCGATTGTAAGTGACACATGTTTGATTCCCTACCAACTTCCTACTTTATTAATATAATGTAGGCTATTAGGTGTACCTTTTGGGCGTGCAAATTGCGCAGGTGCTGCATCAAATTTAATGTAGTTATTCGCTCCTTTAGTAGCAACCTTTTAACGACAATTTTGAACAGGTGATCCGTCATCTTCAGTAACGGCGTACCTCGAAAACCCAGCTGTGACCTAACGTTAACATAGCTCTCCTTATCAGCTTGGCTCGATTTAAATAGCCGTAGTTTAAAAAAATCGCATGTCAGTATATAAGACTATCCCACACAATGCTAGGTATACTAGCCATGAGATTCAAAACAGTTTTATAGAGATCATGAGTACTTTGTTCATGGAGCACATTGTGAAAGAGGTTGGCGAGTCGTTTTATACCATAAAACTGGATGTAACTCGAGACCCGACAGGAAGAGAGAATATTTCAATAGTTGTGCGTTTTGACAATCACCATCGCTGACTAGTGCGACACGGAAACACTGACTAAAACGATCACTGAAACATTAACAAAGGCAGGACTGAATTCAGGGAAAATCATCAGTCAGGTGTATGACGTCACCTCTCTGATCTAAACATGGAGGGTGCAAAAATGTCTCCAAAAAAAACTGCACCAAGACATATATACACTGAACAAAATCATGAATGCAACACTTTTGTTTTTGCCCATTCATCAGATGAGATGAACTCAAAAATCTTTCTCTACATACGCAAAAGGCCTATTTCTCTCAAATATTGTTCACAAGACTGTCAAAATCTGTGTTAGTGAGCACTTCTCCTTTGACATATCAAGATGCTGATCAGACAGCATGGGGATTACACAGGTGTTCCTTAGGCTGGCCACAATAAAAGGCCACTCCAAAATGTGCAGTTCCATCACACAGCACAACGCCACAGATGTCGCAAGTTTTGAAGGGAGCGTGCAGTTGGCATGCGTGGAGGAAGACATCAGCCTGAGGAAGATGTTCAGGTTGTGGATGCTCAGGATTCCATCAAGCCATTTGCCCAATCACAGGCAAAGTGCCTTCCTCCCTGTCCTTCCTCTATTACATGACACCATAGAAACTCATCAAACCAGATTGTGATTAAAGTTATGAGGAAACATTTACTTTCATCATGTAACTGACAGCAGCACAGGAATGAGGGTGGAGCTGTGTGCTATGGGTCCATAGACGTGGGTGTCCTGCTCCTGCTCGACACCCGCTGCAATGACACGAGACCATCGAAACTCATCAAAACAGCCATTGTGAGTAAAAATATGAGGAAATCATCATTCAGCTGAAAGCAGCACAGGAATGAGGGTGGAGCTGCGTACCTGCCTTTCTCCTTTGATTCTGAGAAATGAAGTTCTTTTGTCAATGTTGGATAGCAGAAGGCTATATTACCCACGATGCTCAACCACCGTTGCTATGGAGACGAAGCCACTACACTTTGCCTTACCTGCACAAAACTTGTGTGTTACATAGTAGCCCCCTTTAATGGATGACGTGGCTCAAAATTTATTTTGTTTTATTATTCTATGTTTTATGAAAGAGGATTTCATATTTAATATCCTCAGCCACATAGTCTTGGAAATATGAAATTTAATGAGCTATTTTACAATCACAGGCTATTAAGCGCTTTCTGTTTGCAGAGATAGTGGGGTTTGGATTCAGGTTACGTCCGACCGGAGGCAATTATTCTTGCCATCATCCATTGTTTCTCATTGTCCAGTTTGGACAATGAGACTCTAACCACTCTGATGGCGTCAGGTAGCTCGTTCCACCATCGTGGTTTCACAGACGCGAACAGCCGGGACTGGGATTGCTTTGTGTGAAGGGATGGCAGAGCAAGGCGGCGTTCGTTGGAGGAGCGTAGCGGCTGAGAAGGAACGTAAACTCCCTTTCAAATATCAACACTCTGTGTGACTTAGTGTTTTGGAACAACACAAATGTGCCAAGTGTCTTCACTTGATGCACTTTTTACATACTGAAGGTAACACAGTTGGCATTAATGGATCTAGTCTCTGGCTCCTGTATAGGGATTTTGTCTTTACTGTTCATTAAGGGGGCCAGGAGCTTCTGGTCGGTGATCTGTTTGAACCCGTCAAGTCCAATAAGGCTTTTCTCAAAGTGTTCACATGCCCAAACACTAGCCAAACATTCTTTCTCTATTTGAGGGTACAGGTCTCTGCATCCTTGAGTCTCCTGGAGCAGTAGGCTACAGTTTCCAGTCCTCACCATGCTGCTGCAGCAGGACTCCTCCAAGTCTGTAACTACTGGTGTCAGCTGATAGCACTGAGAAAAGAAGACGAGTACAGAAGCTGATGCTAAAGCAGTCTTCAATCTCCGTGCATGTCCACACAGCCATTCCACCTTCCCCTTCAGCAGTTCAGAGAGCAGTTGTCTCAAACTAGAGGTATAAGTGGCAGTGGTAAGTGTTTTAGCAGTGTGTACAGCGTATGGCTGTGCATCTTCTCTGAGAATGATTTTAACGGGTTCAGTCTTCAATAAGCTGCTGGTTCCCACCACTGTGCTAACCTGCTCTACTCTTATCACCAAACCCATTTTCCCTGTTTCTGTTCAACTGAGCAGACTGCTGCTGTTTCCTTTAATCAGATACACTGGAAAGGTGTATTCTTGTCTCCATAGACAGCATTAGCCCTGAACAACAAAGTTTTTCCTCGTTGGACTCAGTCTTTAGGTTATAGGAAATGTCTGGGATGTCTTTTAATCTTTCTCAGTATTTCTTAGGTCAGGAGCACCTTTCAAATATCAACACTCTCTGTGACTTAGTATTTTGGAACAACACAAATGTGCCAAGTGTCTTCACTTGGAGTACTTTTTACATATACTCTTAACAGCAGGGCATTTGCCGCACCTACGAAAGTTCTGGCCGTTTTTAGGGCTCCATGTAGCTTCTGGTGGTTTCCTTTCACGTCTTGCTCTCTTCGCCATCAATCAACATCAAAAATAGCCACCTGTAACTCCGGCGGGTTGGACTGGAGGCTAATATTGCTTATATCCTCGGACTGTTGCAGAAGCTCTCAAAGTTGACCTTGTTTTGATCAACAGGCTGAATGAGGACATCCTCAGCCCCATCAAAACCCTTCAGGCCTTCTCAAGCGGAAACAAAAAGTGTTTCTCAGAAAATGTTCCGATCAGCTAGTGACAGAAGTCAGTCTGAGAATGTGACATGCCCTGGAGAAGCTGTACTTCCTCTATTTCCTGCACTGCTCACAGTGACATGACACCATAGAAACTCACCAAACCAGTATGTGATTAAAGTTATGAGGAAACATTTACTATTGTCCTTTACTTTCATCATGTAACTGATAGAAGCGAAGCAATGAGGGTGGAGCTGTGTATTATGGGTCCATAGACGTGGGTGTCCTGCTGCTCCCATGTTCCTGCTCAACACCCGCTGCTACAACTACTTTATACTTTATTGCCATTAACACACCATTACAGGCAACTGACACAAGATACAGAATCACCTGCAATTGGGCTTCATTCCAATTAGCTGTAAAATAATACTATTAATAATAGTACACAGGTATCCACCTGTATTGACATTTGCACATGTACATACATACATACACACACAGGCAAACCCAGTTACCTATCAACACCATACACATCTACACACACATGCCGTTTTTCCATTACCGTTACCAGCTCAACTCGCCTTGACTCGACTCGGTTTGGCCGTCCTCCATTTTCCATTGCAGATAGTTCCCCTCAATGTAGCCGGTTGTCATAGCAACGCCACACACAATTGCCGCAAAGTAATGTTCAGTGCGACACACACACCAGCGACCCACACAGCTGTCTCTTGATTTAAGTTAAAATGTTTCAACATTGCTCAGAATGTAAAGACAGATAAGCGGTATGAAAAGCTTCCAGCTGTGTTTTCCTCTGCCGTTGTTGCTGCAG